ATTATGAGGTGGGTCCAGTTTGCATAAGATTATATTAGATAAGACCACTTGTTACACGTTTTAACATGTACTTATTAGTTCAGCAGAAAGTGATTTTGGAGGGCTGGTGAATGATTAGAAGCCACAATACATGTGGATTAATAGAATTAATTTAGTTTTATTAGTTCATCAATTAAAAATTAACAAAATAAAATAATATTATTAATATCTAATAATTTAGAAAAGTCCAAAATCTTTTATTGACTTCTCTAAACAGCTTATAACCTGATATTTGAAGTAAGGCAGAGAGCAAATATTTGCAGCACATTAAACAACATGTGCCAATACTCTATATATGTGTACTAAGAAGATTGATTATATTCAGTGGTATAAAATACTAACTTAAAATGTTTTTGCAAGTACACCACTTTTTTATTATCTTTTACCTCATGCATATGAGTGCATATATTAACAGTCTTTTCTTTTTACCTTGTTAGATTCAAATTTATTAGGCTTGTCAAAGTAATATCAAATAATTATATGTAAAAAATCTAAAATTTGTCCCTAATTAATTGCTCCAAAATATTTTTGTAGGGTTGACTATGGTGTGATCATGACCCAAGACTGTCCCCCAAATAAAACAATTGCATTGGCAGGAGCATTGAATATTTTGGATCATCCCTTCTGAACCTAAATCATTAACTGCTATTATTTTGAAAACTTAACCACAGCACTAACAAGCGATATAATATAATATATATAACTGCAGACACCATATCACAGGGTAGATGAGGTGCACTTGGACAAGTAGTAAGTTGGAAACTACATTATCCTCTCAAATTTGGGTGTAAATAGTTAAAGTTAATTATAGATATAAAGCTGTTTGAACACCTATTCATGGCAGTTGATTAGTAATGTTTATTCATATAACTGTAAAATTGTGATAACTTTATATAAATTACCAAAATGGAAATGCATGATATCATCTAGCATAAAATGTGTTGGTATAGCTAAATTAACATAATAAAATACCCCTATTAGTTTTATTCATAAAATTAACACATATTAAGAAAATTTAAACTTAAAATAATTTTCGGTTTACTCTTATTTAAAGTCAAATTCTATTATTATATTAATTGTCAAGATATTTTTAAAAATTGTATTAAAAAAAGCATAAAGAAATGAATAAGATGTGCAAAGAACAAATAACACTAGGGTCAATGCAAACATGCCCATCTGGGTTTTGGAATAAATAATTAAACAACTAATAATTCATGGATTATAAACAGTGTTGTGCCTAGACCACGCTGCTTTTTTCCCTGCATGTAATTGATTAAGTTCAAACCCTTTTGTTAATTAACTTTGAAATACTCATCCAACCAAGCCTAGAAGAAGAAGAAATGCAACATACAAAATGACATCTTCAGAAATAGACGAGATACAAATTAAAGTTGCTTTAGAACTTAGTGGACTCGAAAAGTTTATCATAACTTGAAAGCTATGTCCTTTGCAGTCTCATAAATGTAAACATTAGCTTCATGGATGCAAAAAAGTTAGACAAAGGAAGAAGAAGTTTGTCTCATGTCTCAGCCATTTTCCCAGAAAAGCAGAAAAAAAGGCATGCCTTTGAACCGCACCGCGTGAGAGTGAGGTTTGGGTTGCACTTCTCAAGAAACGTGTTCCTTGTACGAGAGCTTTATGTATTATATACACAAGTAAATTATGGGTCGGTTGTGGGTGTCAAAAAATATTCTATTTTAGTGCTAACTTTTCTGTAGTCTAAATTTAATTTATTTACAAAGCACAACTTTAAACACTGAAAAAAAATAGTAAAACTATGTTTATTTTCTTTATTATTTAAATGGCACTATATATATATATATATGGATCCCTCATAGTATAAGATGTCAAAAGTTATTTAACTTGCTCTATGTATTAAAATTATGACTTTTTCAAATTACTGTTTCGATTGTGAAAGAAAAATAAATTGTTTTTTAATCAATTATGTAAAATAAATCTTACGTTTAGATTTATTAAAACTAATTCTAAAATAATCTATTTCATTCGAATTATTTAAAATAATCAGTCTGTACAGTAAAGATAGGAAAAAATGGTACGAAATAATTTGTAACAGTTTCTTTTTTATTTTAACAATTGTAATAGATAAGATAAAAAAAAAGTTTAATTAAAAACTAATTTATAAATATATAACTATAATTTCAAACTTTTACTATTTTTTATGGAGATTATAATTTTTTTAATATGATCTAAATCACTAAACATATATCAATAATAGCATCAACTCTTTTTTATATATAAATTATATTGTATCAACGAAAGACTTAATATCATTTAAATAAAATCTTAAATTTAAATTTAATGTAAAAAAATCTGTAATAATAAACTTATTCATTATATTTTAGTGCACTATATTAGACCTAAATTAAACTGATTAAAAAATAAAAAATTATATTAAAATATTTAAAATTACTCCAATTCAAACACTGGTTTTACTAGTTATATTTTAATTAATTTATATAGACTAAAATTAATAAAGCTGATAAAAAAATTGTAAATTTTTGGCAGAATATAGAATATAGTTAAAATTGTATGAGAAGTGACGTAATAGAAGGCATATTGTTGACTTAAATGGAGAAAAAGGAAATTCGAAGGAAAAGCGCGTTTCGGCAATTGTTGGTGTTAAAAGAGCACTTCTTGTTGAATGAGGTGATCGTGTTCGTGTACACGCTTTCCCATTTGGGTCCCACAGTTGTAGATGATCGTGTGGCTGTGAATGCACGTTCAACATTTTAATGATCTAAATCCACGTCATCCCAAGAACATTGACCACTCGCTCACATGTTTTTCCGTGTGCACTAACATCTCCATCATCAACAGATCATCGTTTCGTTGTGAATCAAAAAGATAAACAGTTGACCTTTTCCAATGCCAGTACTAACATTTTTTTCAATACAAGTTTTTATTTTTCATAGTTAAATTCAATTCTAAATATTTATATTAAAAATTTATTAAATTAAATAAATATCAATAAATAATAATTTTATTTTTTTCATATTACTGTTATGTTGTGTTTTTATCAAGAGTATTTATTATAAATACACGATAAAGTGATAATGATAATATCTCTTAATAAAAAAAATACGTGTACACTTTTGAAGAAAAGTAACAGCTTTACAAATTATTTTGATAAAATATATTTATTAAAATAATTCCAGTTTAATTGTGTTTATTTTAGTGTACAAGTTAGTTTGCATAATGCATATATGTAGAATTTTATAAGTTTTTTAAATAATTATATAGAGTAAAAAAATTATTTTAATTTAATTTTATAACCATAAAATATAAGATAACAAGAAATTATTATAAATATAAATATAAATGTTCTTGAAAAATTTATAAATGTATATAATGTAATAAAAAAATTAAGTAACAACTTTTAAATAAAATATAATTAATAAAAATTATATATAAATTAAATCAATTGCAATAAGAGAGAATGTAGTTTACATCAGTCAATTAATAACAGAGAAAAAATTATTTTGACTCAGTGTTTCACTTTTTAAATAAAGTATTTTTATTTATAATATAAAATTAATTAATAAATTTTTTAAATAATAAATATTTTATAATAAATTTAAATATTTAAGCAACTCTAATGAAAGATGAAAAGAGTAATAGATTCTTAAAAGTAAAGCTTACCTATACATACTATTTTATTTTTAAAGAAAATAGGTATCTAAATTTTAAATAATAATGGGTTAAAGGAAAGGAAAATTTGAGTTAGAAACCCATTTTAAAATGTAAAAAAGGCCAAAAGAAGAAAGATATCGAAAATAGTAAAATTAAAAAGAAAACATGTGTTAAAAAATCAAATATAATTTAATACTCGAACCATATATTTTCAATGCTACTCATTAAGCTATCATTACTTAGTTAATCTTAAAATTTTATACTCTAATTTTTATATAAGTTCAATTTTAATTTACTTGTTAATACATTATAATTAAATTCTTTTAGTATTCACATTAGACTCGTACCCATGTTCCTCTTAATCTCTTAAAAAAAAACTCTATATATTTCATCTATTACTTTTTTTTTTCATTTTTTCATGTTCTTTTATATTTTAAAAGTGTATACACCTAAGCATGTCAAAGATTCTTAATCAACAATCAATGTTGAAAAATAACTTGCAGCTGGTGCTGTTTTAGTTTCAATTCTATGAGTGTGAATTAAGAAAAGTTGGATCTACATCATATTATATAATGTTTCTTTTTTTAACAACATATACAATTATATTATTTACTCGTATTATTAATTTTAGTAAAGTAGATAAGTTAAAAAAAAAAGGATTATCACAATTTTTCTAAATTGAGAAAGTTTAACATACTCTTTAACACATCTTTTATTATTCCTTTAAAAGAAAAATAAATTGATTTTTGTGTTTGATGAGTGGTGATGAAGATTATAAGATGGAAAAAGAATGCATGGGTGAAGAAGCAGGAGAATAATGTGAGAGATGCATCTCTTATACGCTTTCTTTTATTCAGTCATTAGCAGCTGCCAACGAAGCTTCTCTTCTCTTCTGTCTCTCTGGTCACCGCTGGCTTCTTGTGAAACCAAGGACTTGCAACTTTTCACTCATAACATGTATCAAACAGTTGACCAATTACCCCATTTTACTTTTTCATTTTCTTTAACGTGTCTCGTAAACATATAATAAAATATTTAATTTACTTTTGTAATTTTAATATTATAGATGTCTTATTATTTAATTAAAATTTATGAAAAATTAAATTAAATATACTTTAAAAAAATATTTTATTTTTTGTCTCTGGTATTACTCACCCACAAAGTTTCTCAAAAAATAGGTAACATCTTAACAGTTATCATTCGCTTTATTATTGTTATTTTTCTCTCTTATTTAACAATATTAATTTCCACCTTATGGACAACTAGCATTTATTTCATTTTTAATAGACCCTTTCTCTTTCACCCTCTTTCTAGGCTCCACTTTTATAATACCTTTTACATTTCTTCATCACAGTATCAAACTTGTCTTCTATCTCTCTTTTTCACATCCTCTGCATATATTCCTCCTCAATCCTTTCTAAGTGTTACTTTTTGTTCTATCAAGCTTTTTGATCAGTTTCTTAGTTTTTCTCTCTCTCTTTTTTTTTTTTTTTTATCACTCTCAAAATGATTGACTTATAGATTTCTGATCCAAAGCTTAAGTTAGTATAGTTTCATTGAATTCTCATCTGGGTTCAACCTGTTTGGTGTTTGGACTGAACCAGTTTCTAATAGCGGTGTGTATCTGCCACACACACACACACACAAAAAGCCAACTTTTGTTCTTTGTTTCTTTGTAATAGTACTTTGGATTTGAGAATCTAGATATGGGTTCTTGTCTAAGTAAAGGTAAAGATTCTGAGCCAGAACACAATGGTTATAGACAAGCTGGGTCTGGTGGTGTTCACAACCAGAAGACTCATGAACCTTTGGTCAACCAATCAAGAGTACCTGCAAATCAGCCTTATCAGTTACCTGAAAAGCATGCTGCATCAACTACTCAAACAGTGCCTCAGACACCATGGAAGCCTTCTGTTCCTGCACCAAGTCCAAAACCTGTTAAGCAAGACACAATCCTTGGGAAGCAATTTGAGGATGTGAAACAGTTCTATACACTTGGGAAGGAATTGGGTAGAGGGCAATTTGGGGTAACATATCTATGCACTGAGAATTCAACTGGGTTGCAGTATGCTTGCAAGTCCATTTCAAAGAGGAAACTTGTAAGCAAATCTGATAAAGAAGATATAAAGAGGGAGATTCAGATTATGCAGCATTTGAGTGGTCAACCAAACATTGTTGAGTTCAAAGGTGCTTATGAGGATAAGCATTCAGTTCATGTTGTGATGGAGCTTTGTGCAGGTGGTGAACTTTTTGATAGGATTATTGCTAAGGGGCATTATAGTGAAAGAGCTGCTGCATCAATATGCAGACAAATTGTTAATGTTGTTCATATCTGCCATTTCATGGGTGTGATGCACAGGGATCTTAAGCCAGAGAATTTCTTGTTATCTAGTAAGGATGAAAATGCACTTCTCAAGGCAACTGATTTTGGCTTGTCCGTTTTCATTGAAGAAGGTAAAGTTTTGATTCATTCATTGGTTATTTATTCTAATTTCTTCATCTATGAAGTTTCAGATTAACCAATGGAAGGATCTTCATAGAAAAATGTTAGCTTTGGAAAACTTTTTGAAAGGTTTCTATCTCAAATTTTTCCTTTGGATTATTTCCTTTTGTAGAAATGTTTTTGCAAATTCATGAAAATTTCAGATTAGAAATTTAGCTATATTGGTCGTAGTATTTTGTACACAAGAACAAATAGTTACTTCTGTCTTAAAGGGTAGGTGGGGTAGGTGGGGGAGACTCTTACAAAGTAGCTTTATTGCCCTTGTTATTGGCTGTCCTTTTTAGTCAAAACATTGGTACGAAGTTTGAGAGCCTTTAAACTTGCTTGATAACACAGTTTTCTTAAAGATGTAGGTTGGAATTAATTCCTCCAATTAGTTTAACAAAAACTTAATATCATTGTTCTTTCCTCTCCACACGTATTGTATGCTGCAATTATACATATGATTTATAACATTTCAATCCTATGCCTTTCTGTAATGTCTTTGCTATCTGGTTTGCACTTTGATGTATCAATCATATTTTTTGTAAGTGACATGGAAAGTAATGTCATATGGTTGACCCATCTTGTGTTTATGAGTTAAGATTTGGCTATACCCAAAATTCACAAGCATGCTGACTTTGTATTTGCAAACAGAGATTCTTTTAAGTTTTCATAACTTGTTCCAAAAAATCCTATTGACTATATGCTTGTTTGTTGTAATCCCATCGATGTCTTTTGCTAGCTTTCAGACGTGGCATGAAGCAATGTAAGGTTTAGTAGACAGAAAATTACTCACATAGTTTATCTTATTTAATTAGTCAGCATTCAGCAGTGTGATTGATCAACTGTCGAGAATCTTCCATTTTCATTTATTCCATCCATCACACACATTAAGCTCTTAGGTTTCATGACTTATTAATCTTTGAGTAGTGTGGAAAATGGAAATGTTAAAATTGAAAGTTCTATTTATTCCTCAATGTGAGATGTTATGTCAAATTTTAGTTATAGCCTTAGGAAATAAAACTATAGCTTGTTGAGAAACTTCACTTCCATCATTAGCTTTGAAGTGCCTTGCACTCACAAACACACACCCATGCAACGCATGCACTTGTATTTTTGGCAACTATTTATCTTTTCACTAGATGATTTCTGTGTAAAAGGAAGATTATCTTTGTCTTTAAATGTGTACATAAATTTCTCTTACTCATATTTTACAGGAAAGGTGTATAGAGATATAGTTGGGAGTGCTTACTATGTTGCTCCAGAAGTTCTACGCCGTAGATGTGGGAAGGAAATAGATATATGGAGTGCAGGAGTCATATTGTATATCCTACTCAGCGGTGTCCCTCCATTTTGGGCTGGTAAACTGAGATTTTGATTCTCATAATAGAATAGAACAACTATGAACTAAAATTTTAAAACACATTTATTTCGTTTTCTATTCCCTTTTACTAGTTAGTTGTCTAACTTTTTTTAATCAAATATGTGCTGTAGAGACTGAAAAGGGAATATTTGATGCCATATTGGAAGGTCATATTGATTTTGAAAGTCAACCGTGGCCTAAAATTTCAAGCAATGCCAAGGATCTTGTTCGAAAGATGCTTATACAGGATCCAAAGAAACGCATTACCTCTGCTCAAGTTCTTGGTATATAACTTTCGTTGTGTTTTCTCCTTTCTCCTTATTCCTTATTAAACACTTGAAGTTTATTAAACTTTCTTGAACTCCAAATAGTATTTAAGTTTCAACTTCTTGCTCATGTGGTCAATTTATGTGTGTGTGTGCAAGATTGAGAAGATAAATTATTAGAGGGGATTATTAGCTGATGGGGACTAGTGATATGCACAACTTATTATAGCTAATTGTAATGCATGAAAAAACTGAATTCGCTCAAAAGCATGCAGAATCCAAAGTTTATTTTCATATAATCATGTCTGTACAGACTGTTCTACCACTATACAGGTATGACAACAGACATACACTGCAAGTGAACATACTAGTTGTTAAGAATTAAGATTTGTCAGACAAGAAATATTACATGAAAACTCATCAATATATCACAAATATAATAGTCCTTCTATTATCTTGCAGCATGTCAATTATTTATTATATAAATATATATATATACATATGGGAATGTATCCAATGAGAACAATTCTCACTATAAGATTATGAGAACACTAAACGACTTTTTTAAGTAGTTACATGACTATTACCAAACTTTTAATCTTGACCATTCATGTATTGTTATATCATATATATATATATATATATATGTATGTATGTATGTAGTATTCAGAAAAAAAATAACAATATTTTGAACTTCTGATGTAATCAATACCAGTTTTTTATTACAACTCTTGTTGACTGATCAAATGGGTTTAGCATCCTTAATATTTTCTTGGTTAATGGATTTTATTTTCTCTTCTAACTGATTTATATATTGTATGAATGATCAGAACACCCGTGGATTAAAGATGGAAATGCTCCAGACAAGCCAATAGACAGTGCAGTCCTTTCCAGAATGAAGCAATTCAGAGCTATGAATAAACTAAAGAAACTTGCCCTGAAGGTATGTCCATCCACAATCTGCATGAAGAGAGACCAAAGTGATCTTTAGCGCTTGTTTCCTTAGATAGCATAATAGATACCTCTATTTCTATAGTTAACCATGGCTAAAAATTATGAAAGGATAATTTTAAACCATTAAATATGTCGGTTAATAGGGGCTACAACATTGAGATATGGAAAATTTCATTCTCATTCTAGTGTTCTTGTTATGACTCTCGGTTAAACCAATCTATGTAACTTTATAGTGCATGAGTATCTAGGTCTCTGAATTCAAAACATTCACTGAATTTTGAATATTCTTTTAGGTCATTGCTGAGAACATGTCTGCAGAAGAGATCCAAGGTTTGAAGGCAATGTTTACAAATATGGACACTGACAAGAGTGGTACAATCACCTATGAAGAACTGAAAGCAGGATTGCAAAGACTTGGCTCAAAGCTTACTGAGGCTGAAGTGAAGCAGCTTATGGAAGCTGTAAGCTATTTTTTTGTCCTTTATTTTTCTTTTAATGATTTCCAAACTTATATTTCATGGCTTAAACTGTAGGCTGATGTTGATGGAAATGGCTCAATTGACTATATAGAATTCATTACTGCTACAATGCATAGACACAAGTTAGAAAGAGATGATCAACTTTTCAAGGCCTTCCAATATTTTGATAAAGACAACAGTGGGTAAGACGTGATTACTTTGTTCAACTTTGTCTTCTCCTCCAATTGCTTTGGACTTTACATTATGCCATCCTTACGAATCTTTTAACTATTGAGATCAATGTTTTAAATTTGCCATTAATGTCATGTATGTCTACTAAATTTCATACATTTTGTAGAGTATTTAATAAAAAAATAAGGCACAGCGGCCAGCAACCTTGTTTACAAAATCATCAATTGATAAATAGCTAAACTTGGATAGGAATGTCATGAGCAATGACATATCTACTCTGGTGTTAATTTGATTCCATTACAGGTATATTACAAGAGATGAATTGGAAACAGCCATGAATGAATATGGTATGGGTGATGAAGCCACAATCAAGGAAATTATATCTGAAGTTGATACAATTATATCTGAAGTAGATACAGATCATGTAAGCCTATTTTTTATTAAGTGGGATTGCTACAAGTTTCTCTTTTTGTTCCGTAGTTAATACTCAATTTTGTGGCTTCACAGGATGGTAGAATCAACTATGACGAATTCTGTGCAATGATGAGGAGTGGAAATCAGCAAGCCAAGCTATTCTAAAACACACAATCTCTAACCAGTATGAGTTTCCGATATCCAAGACCCGCCTAGGGACAAGGTTTATACTTCTGAGAAGTACTTCCAAAAGTTTATACCACTCGTAGGCATGTAAAGATTCTGTTTAGAATGTTTTTTGAGTTATGATGTTCCACATGACTTTTGATCAACTCTCTTGTTTCATTTTTGGTTTCTTTTTCCTTTTCACTGACATTTTATTTGAGTCCTCTGAATTTGTTTTGGACACTGAAGTATACTCACATAGCAAAGTTGTTATCTCAATAAGTTATACAAGTTTTTGCACTTGAAATCCTATACCACTATTGTTTATTAAGGATTGCAAGCTACGAGAGTAGTTTAATGGTTAAATCAAACCTTGTATGTCTTTTCTAGCCTTTCATTGTCTAGTTAAGCAAACTTGGATGTATCCCAATAGTGATAACTAGGGTAACCTTGGTTCATTATCTGATGACAACCAAATTATGGCAAACCAAGATTGGTTCTGACAGTAACACAATTCCATTTCGTTTTCTTTGTAAGATCATTGAAAGTGAGATTGTGTTTGCATAATGCATAGAACATGTAAGTGAAAATAAACCTGGAAAAGACAGACAGTAGGCAAATAAACCCAATAGCTATCCCATCCTTAGCGATTCAGCAGGAAGAAAGAAACAATTTTTGGCAGATACATCAAGTCAATTTAGATAGTTTTGTCCTTTTTCTTCAATTCGTTTAATCGAAAACTAACTTAAGATAGATTCGAAAGAATTATTTATATTCAAATGGCCATGTAAATTAGACTAGTTGATCATATATATATATATATATATAGAAACCTTGGACCCGTATAGAAAGACAATTTATTTTAAAGTGGGTCAAATTCCTTTTAAAACTAAAACAGAGACTATATTTCTCCCCTGTCAATTTAAATCTTCATTTTATTTTTAGTCGTTTTGGCTTGAATGAAAATTACAAGCTATCTTAGCTGGCAATGGGCGTGGTCGAAAATTTTCTAGAGTTTGATTTTCCACATCAGGTAAAAATGAATTTTAAATTGTTCTAAGAGCCATTTTGGTCATTCTACACTTATTTTTCATCTAAAAACATCATGAATTTGGTTTCATGGTCTTCCCAGAGTGTAGTTCTCAATTGAATCAAATGAAAAAACAAATGTCAAGCGAGCTTGAGCATTCATCCATGGAAGAATCTGCCTTGTAAGCGAGTTTAACCAATCAACGGAACATGCACCAAAAATAAGAAAACCGTGCAAGTGCAGAAGACCTAATGTCAATCTCTATCCATTAAGGATTTTTATTTTGATTAATTGAAAACCCAAAGAAAACTCCAATTGAAAATGTTCAAAGAAATCAATTTATATAAAATTTGTCTCTTTAAAAAAATGAATTAAAAGGTAAAATATATGTTATGATTAATAGTATTCCATCAACTTAACTTACTTTGAACGGTTAATAATTTTTTTATTATTTTTCATTTACACATATCTCTTTAAGTTGTATTTGTAAATAGTTATTACATTAAAATGCAGGATAAACAGCTTCAACCGAATTTACCTTAATAAATAAAAACTAGCAAATTTTTATTCTTAGGCTACGTTTAAATTAAATTTAGTTTAAAATAATAATTTTAGATTTCAAAAATTCTCGCACATTCTAAAATATATTAATAAAAACATTAATTCAAACGAATTTACAATAGTCAATTTACGATTTAAAACAATTTCACTCGTGCTCAATTTTAAACCAAACAATCACAAATTTCACTGCTAAAGGGCATGACAAATTGACAACGAAATTAATAAGTAGATAAAAGTAAATCAAAATAAAAACAGCCAACATATTCTAAAAACCGAATCTTTATTTATTATATATGACGTACTTGACATACAACATTCAAGATGAACATCATCCATGGAATTCAATCATTAAAAAAGCAAATTCAAAGCACACATATCAATACCACTTTAATCTTTTATCAAATGAAACGAACCAAAACAAACCCACCAACTTCAAATACCATAAACAACAGAAACGAAACCAAGTTCTTCAAAAACCATGAATCTTAATTTGGTCCTTCCTAACAAGACCAGCTTGAGCAAGAAACTGAGAAACTTTCTTGCGTTGATCACCTTGGAGTTGAATTATCTTGCCAAGTTCCTTGTCTTGCACAACATTGCCGTTGCAACAAAACTCTTTTTTAAGGTCTTTGAGGATCTTCTCGTAGCTGAACTCTTTCTTCAGCCCTTGCACTGTGGTTAGGCTCTTTTTTCCATTCCTTTGCTGAATTCGTATATGAACATACTCTTTGGCTCCGGGGGCATCAGATTCTCTAGCCTCAGCAAATGGATCAAATGGGGTGGGAACTTGAATTTCCAAATCAACCATGTACTTTGCTTGATGGAAACTTTGTAACCGAAAGCTACTGCAAGGAACAATCCATCACACTTTTAGAACACAACATATACACCAAATCCATGAAAATTTCTAATATATCCATAGCCATGCATATGATATGATCAAAGATTAAAGCAAATTAAAAGATCACGTAGGTTTTATATTTTAATTACGACCATTCATAGTAAAATGTATTTTTCATGTGATAAAAAATTGATAGATAGTAGATTTGTGTGAAAAATATAAAATCCAATACCATGCATTGAATTCTATAATTTTTAATAGAAAGTTACTATATAAATTCCTAAGAGGCAACAATAAGAGCATAAAAAGTTCGAATCTCAATCGTGTAAAAAATGAAGTTAAAATTCTCAGCTGCCACCCCAACAAAGAAACACCATGGATATATCATCAAACAACGATAGGAACATAAGATATCATCAAACATAGAAATCTCAGGTAAATTCAGGATCCACAAATAAAACCATAAAAATCTACGAACTTTCGATACCATCCATGATTCAAACAAACAAAACAGAACAACCTAGTAGAAGATCATTAATTCAACACATTCCTCCACACCCAATTAACCTGCCAACAATACAAACTTCAAAAATCACGCACCCAGAACACAAAACCGCTGTTTCCCACAAACAGCAGATCACAAAAATGACAAAGAGGAGAGAGGAAGGAACCTGAAAGATAGAGAGAGAAAAAGACTTCTAGAGACTTAGAAGACAATGAACAACGATATGGAAAAACGTGAAGGGGGGTTACGCATATATATAGTGCGTGGAAGAGGCGGTGCCAGTGTGTGCGCAAGTGGGGAAGGGCCACTTGTTTTTGAACGGATGAGATTGCGTGATGCGTACACGTGGACGGTGATTATCTGGTTTTACGATTGGGAAGTGATTTTGGACATAGAATCGTGTTCTTATTGGGGATAAGAATAAGGTACACGCGTAGGTTGAACGCGGAGAAGGGTGGAACGAACGCAACTAAAAGCGCTTTTTGCTTCATAAAGAATAGCGCATCCAAACAGGTCATAATTGGAGAGTGGGGCCACCAAAGTGTAAAGAAAGACACGGAAGAGTCCAGAGAGCACTGCATACATTATTCTCTCACTCTTTGGTTTTGTGTTCTATTTTCGCTGTTATGCCTAACATTTCTTTTTCTTTCTTTCTTTCTTGTTTTTTTAATTTCAATCCTTTTGGGTAAATAATACCTATTTAGGATCAAATTAAGGCTATACATTTTATCATTTTACTCAAAATCAATGTAATCTTTACATTGTTTTTAAATATATTTTTATCTTTTTGTTACAAAAATAAAAAAATCTCGTTTTATCTTTTATAAAGGAAATTTTAATTTTATCTTACTAGCCTTTAAAACAAAATTTAATCTTGTATCATAGTTTAATTTCACTTTATCTAACTTATCTGTAATTTTGATTCCTCTATTTTTAATTACTTATTCTTTATTTTTTTTTAAACGCTAAAATTAAGATTTTCATCTTACAATTTTATTTTAAAATTAATATAATTTAATGGAGATATAATATTTATTAATTTATATAAATAATATATATATTATTTTGAAATAAAAATACAAAATATAATAAAATTCTTAATTTTGGAATCAATTACTTAATTTGATTTATATTTTTTAAAAGATTACATATCTTATTTAATACTTTTATTTCTTTTACTATTATTGATTTAATCATATCAATTTATATTTAAATTAAACTTAAAATTTTAATTCTTGATAACTATATTAAATTCAAGATATCATTTTTTTTAAGAACTATTTTTTTAACATAAAAAGATTTTAAACCAAGCCTAGTATAAACATAATAAATTTCAATTTAAATCAACTTTTGACACACTATGAAACTAAAAGATATAGACATAATGTGTATTGAATTTTCAAATTTGGATTAAAAATTAGATGCAATCGAAAGTTTATCAAACTTTTGCAACAATGGTGAGGATTGACCTGCGAGTTAGTTTGCAAATCGACAAATCAAATCCATTTAACCCGCAAATTCGTGGGCCAGACTCATTTTGTAAACAAATCACTGATTTCTAGGCCCAATCTCGCAGTAAATGCAGGCCTTACAGATTAATTGGTAAGCCCAAACCTATACACCCAACCACACTTGAAAAAAAAAAACCAATTATTTCGGGAATATGCTAGAAATTTTTTGTTTATTGGAAAGTATATACTATATACTCATTTCTCAATATATTTTTGGAAGAAAATACTATACAGCCAAGCATTTTGTATTTTTTTTCTTTTTTTGCCGCTATAGGTTTTTGATAAGTGAAGGATTGAAGATTAAATAATATTCAGTAGTTTGATTTATCTAAGAACTACTCTTTTATGACCAAAATATTGATTTTTTTCATTTTCTTAAACATATGCAAGCAATCTTATTCAGCATGATTGTACACTAAATATGGACCTTTTCTAAATTAGAATCCAAACTATGGTTCACCAATTCATACAAAACTAACCATTTTCATTAGAAATAATCATTAAATTTTTGTGACTACATAACATTAATCATTTTTAAAAAATCCAATAAACGAACACTATTGAGCAACAAGCCTGGTCATTGTAGCTTGTAAAGTGAACTTATACACCAAATATCTACATCAACCAATACTGGAATTCCACAACTTCATAAAATAGTAGAAACAGGACTTTGTTAATCCTCTTTTCCCCCCTCTTATCAGTTAATGCATAGTAGTTAAAGTGTTCAAACATGCACACAAATTAATCATTAGTGACATAACTAATGCAGGGTTAAGGGAGGGGAATTCCATTAATACCATTTACATATAGATTCAAACATGATAAGGAGACAAAACATAAAACTTTTATGTGCTGGGATTATCTGGCAAACGTTTTAGATCCATCTCAACTTGGTGGATTGTCCATTGCATGTTCTCCAATTTCTGCACATCAGCATAGGAAATTGAGAAACATAAACTGAAAGACATTGAAATGATAAAACTCTTCCTTTTCACTTTCAAGGAATTTCAATTTAATTCAACTATTATATCCTCAAAGTTTTTAATTTATAATTATTGTCATCCCAAATAAGAAGTTTCAGGAAAATAGAATAGAAATGAGGGAATTGAATGAAAAACTATTAATATAATAGTATCACCTTTACAATGTCATGGTACTGCCTTGCAATGTTGTCAAAGTGAGGATCAACACCTTGGTACTCACGCAAGCGAGTAACCTGGTACACGACAAACATGATGAATGATCAAAATGAGGGAGGGAAGACAAAAGTAAATTAGATACCAGATGACTAGCATGTAGGGGTATAATGACCCAAGCCAAGTATTTAAAGCACAAGCTTGACTTACTAAAAATAAAAGAGAATGCTCAAGCTTGGATCATTTATTTAAATGAGCTAGATTGAAAGCTTAGCTGAGCTTGATTAACAAATTTTGAAACTTGAGCTTGGCTCATTAGCTTGTTTATAATATTTTTTATAAGTTTTGAATAACTTTTTTTTATTGATTTAGTATTTAATGAATATTTTTATGCTAAAAAGTAAAGTAAAATGATAATAGAATATAATTTTATCTACATGAAAATGACTTAAGGTTAAAAATAATTTTTTTTATTATAAGAGTATATTTCTTTACAAAAATTATGATTACTTGTTTAAAATATAACTCTTAAAAATTAAAATTAGATAAATAAAAGACACACAAGCACAATGATAACAATAATAAAAAATATAATATATATACACACACAAGCTACTCATGAGTTATTAATGTCCAACTTATGAGGCCTGAGCTTGTTTATTTAATTAAATAAACAAATCCAGCCAAGCATTTAATGAGCCGAGCTTAAATAGTTTACAAGTAGCTCAACTATACCCTCCTACTAGCATAGAATTACAAACCAAAGTCCAAAGCTATACGTAGAAATTATTTCAAAGATAGAACACATTTTCATGTCTTAGGTATTGATAAGACATTAATGCTTTGTCTGGATTGACAAAGAAAATGAAAAGAGAGAATCTAGAGGGAAAGAAATTGATGAGAAAGTGAATAGATTTTTAGGTATTGATAAGTCCAAAGCCATGTGCAGAAATTATTTCAGAGAGTCAAAGTTCACTCCTTTATTTCTCTGTCAACAAACTCTCTTAAATCATGGATACCTAACAAAGTATAACCAACAATCCTTGGCTCATATTCCATAATGCATTGTACAACATTAAAAACACGCATTACAATTTTCATGCTCATCTGCACCAGTGAATTTGCATTTCCATGATGCAGATGATATAGCATTCACAATTTGCTCTTTACAGGGATGACATATTCTGAGCTATTTTCACAAAGTTGCCTCATGTCTCATCACATTTTCTTTTGTGAAGAGCCCAATTCATGGCAAGAAACCACATAGAACTAAAGTCAGTGACTGCCAAATTACCTAAGTGCTAACATGCATGTGGACATAGGAACATACCGCTTTATTGTATGCAATAGAAGCTTCTTCTGTCGCTTCAACAAGATACTTCCTAAAATTAAAAAGGGAAAGTGGTTTATCAACACCAAACAGGAACTGCTTACAGACTTACAGAGGTTTCGTTATTGATACCTTATCTTATGAAGGGCAGGTATAGAATCCTTGGTGTAGGTTTCGAGCAAGAGAACGTGTTGTAAAACCCTGACAAGCAATGACAAATATCACAATTATTACATTACAGAACCTGACAAAACTAACAAATTACAGCTAATATAAAAGAAAATAAAATAAATGCTATGCAACTATGTATAAGGTAAACCAGATTAATCTAGACTTATAATCTGATTACCATTTTGGACAAAGACAAATCATGCTTCCATCTGCTTCGAGGTGGAGGAGGTACAATTCAGACACCAAAACAGTTAAACTGACAATAAAAGGAACTTGGGAGATGCAATAAAACTCCTGTCATCTTAAATTAGTACAAATTAATTTCAAGAATTATGCCTTGAAGTTTCAGATTCAAGCCCCTTTTATTTACCACTCAATTCCATCCAATTTTTGTCCAATGGTCCTTGTTAAACTCAGTGTTGTCAAATTTCGGTTATGGCGGCGCCATGGCGGTTTGGCGTGGTGGAAATGACAGTCGCCGTTATGAAGATAGCGTGGCGTGGCGGGGCGGAATGACGTGGCGGCACCATCGCAGCCGTTACGAGCATGGCGGTAACGGCCGGCCATGGCGGAAATCATGATAAATGGCTTTTTTTAAAAAAAAAAATGGATTTTCTGCACTTTTGGGCCAGATCCAACCCGACCCAGTTCAAAACCCAACTGCCTAAATCCAGGTTTTTTCTCTCTCTTCTCCTTACGATCTCACTCTTCCTCTCTTTGCAATCGCACTCTCTCTGCGATCTCACTCTCCACTCACTCGCCACTCTGCTCATCACCTCTTTTCTCTCTGCCCTCCATCTCTCTCTCTCTGCAACTGCTTTCTCTGAGATCTCTGTGCTGAGATCTCATTTTGTCTTGGGCTTTTTGTGTTTCTGTTTTGGTGCATTTTGGTCTCTATTTCCGGCGACTGCACCTCCATCTCCGACGACTCCATTTTTCTGGTAGCTATTTTTTGTCATTTTTCCTCTCATTTTTTTCTTTATTTCCCCCATTTAAATTTTACCCTTTCCATCTTTCAATTTCTACCTCTCCCACATCTCTATTTTTCTCTGTTTTTTCTCTGATTTTTCTCAAAAAAAAAAAATTCTATTTATTTCAGCTACTCTTAACATGGCTCAACATGAGTCTTCATCAAATTGTTCAAGAACTTCTAATTGTTCTGACCCGGGATGGAAATATGCTCATTCGAAGGATGGAGATACAAACAACATTGTATGTGACTTTTGTGAAAAAGTTATGAGTGCTAGAATCACTAGAGTGAAACAACATTTAATTGGAAAGAAGGCTAACATGAAAGCTTGTCCCAAGTGTCCAGAAGAAGTTAGAAAAGAGATTGAGACATCAAAAGGAAAAAAAGAATCAAAATAATTTTGAGATGCCAAATGTGAGAAGCTTTGAAGGTATAAGCTATGATGTAAGTGAGGATGAAGAGGATACCCAAACCCGTAGTGTTGCCATTGGAAATCAGAAAGGGCCAATGGACTTGTTTTGTAGAAAGCTTGAAAGTGCAATTGAGAAAAGAAAAAAGAAAAATTGAGACAAACAAATATAAGAGAACAACGTGACAAAGAAGCCAAGGCAAGGGTCCATCAATACATAGCTCGATTTTGGTATCAAGCTGGCCTTTCCTTTAACCTTGTTAAACTAAAGAGCTTTCAAGAAATGATCACAGCTGTTGGTGCCTTTGGTCCAAATTTACCAACTCCAAGTTATCATGATATTCGAGTTCCACTTCTTAAGAGCTAGAATATACTAATTCTTTGATGAAAGATCATAAAGAGCAATGGAGCAAACATGGTTGTTCTATCATGTCAGATGCATGGACAGATCGAAAGCAAAGATGTTTGATTAATTTCTTGGTCAATTCTCCTGCTGGGACTAGGGGTGTCCATTGGATCGGGTAAACCAATAAACCCGATAATCCAAACCGATCCAAACTAAAAAAAATTCAAACCAATGCTTAACGGGTCCGATCCGAACCAAACCGATTAAACCCGACGTGGTTTGGTTTGGATAACGGGTATTACTATATCAACCCGATAACCCGTGTTTATACCCGATGAACCCGAGCAAATTCACTTTGAAGAGCGGTTTGGAGAACGGTTCAATTTCAACCGCTCTCAGAAGTGACCTTTGGAGAGCGGTTCAATTTCAACCGCTCTCAGAAGTGACCTTTGGAGAACGGTTCAATCCGAACCGCTCTCAGAAGTGACCTTTGGAGAGCGGTTCCAATATAACCGCTCTCAGAAGTGACATTTGGAGAGCGGTTCCAATATAACCGCTCTCAGAAGTGATATTTAGAGAGCGGTTCAATCCAAACCGCTCTCAGAAGTGACCTTTGGAGAGCGGTTCGGAGAGCGGTTATATTGGAACCGCTCTGCAAATGTTGCACCCCTTAACCTAGTTACGCACTTACGCCGCTGGTGAAGACAACCGCCATTAACCTGTTTTGTTGTTCCGCTACAGCTCAACTTGGATTTCTCTCGCTTCCGCATCTCAAATCTGAATCAAAGTGAGTATATGTCTAATTTTTTTTCTACTTTTTCTGTTTTTAATTTTTACTCTGGTCTGAAATATGTTTATGCTTATGATTTTGCAGCCCACAAATGGCAAATAACAGTGAAACTGTTGTTCCGCTACAGCTCAACTTGGATTTCTCTTGCTTCCGCATCTCAAATCTGAATCAAAGTAAGTATATGTCTAATTTTTTTTCTACTTTTTCTGTTTTTAATTTTTACTCTGGTCTGAAATATGTTTATGCTTATGATTTTGCAGCCCACAAATGGCAAATAACAGTGAAACTGCTGAGAATACCCCAACAAGCTCAAGTGGCATGGAACTATAGCAAGGTGGTGTAGACACTCCATTGCTGCAAGAGACTCCTACACAAGGACTAGAGACTCCTATACAGGGACAAGAGACTCCTACGCAAACTCAAGGTATTAAAAAGAAAACCTAGTCGACCGCCATCCAATGCTTGGGAACATTTCACTAGACAAAATGACAAGGCTATTTGTAACTATTGCCAAAAGTTATATGCATCTAATAGTTCTACCCATGGAACCACAAACTTGAATAAGCATATTTTGTGTTGTCCGAAAAACCCAAATAGGATAGTTGATAAGAGACAAAAAACACTTGCACTTGAAAAGGAGAGTGAGGATGCCTCTACTATTAGTTTTAAACTAGTTGATTTTAATCAAGATCGAACCCAGGCAGCACTAGTTAGGATGATAATTATGGATGAGCAACCTTTTAAGTTTGTTGAGGGTCTCGGATTTAGAAAATTTATGCTTGAGGCTCAACCGAGATTCAAAATTCCTTCTCGACAAACTATTGCTAGAGAGTGCATGCTACTGTTTGAATCAGAAAAGGAGAAGTTGAAAGCTATATTGTCTAAAAACGATCAAATGGTTTCACTTACGACTGATTGTTGGACTTCAATTCAAAACATGAATTATATTTGTGTGACTGCTCATTATATTGATGCTGGGTGGGAATTGAATAAAAGGATATTAAGCTTTGGGTTGATTACTGACCACAAAGGTGACACCATAGGTAAATACCTAGAGAAATGCTTGAAAGATTGGGAGATTTCAAAGATTTGTTGTATAACTGTTGATAATGCAAGTGCTAACAACTTGGCTATTTCATATTTAATTAGGGGCATGAGTGATTGGAATGGTAGAACTTTATTAAATGGAGAGTACATGCATTGAGATGTTGTGCCCATATTTTGAACTTAATTGTTGGTGATGGTTTGAAGGAAATTGATATCTCAATTGCTAGAATTAGAGCTGCATGTAAGTTTGTTAAGGGATCTCCGCTTAGATTGGCCACTTTTAAAAGGTGTGCTCAAGAGGCAAATATACCTAGTCAAGCATTGTTAATTGTTGATTGTTCCACTAGGTGGAACTCCACTTATTTAATGTTAGAAGTTGCTGAAAAATATGAGAAAGCATTTAGTCGTCTTGAGTATGATGATCCTGCCTATTTAATAAATCTTGAGAGTGAAGGGGGGTGTCCTAATAGCGATGATTGGACTCGTGCACGCATGTTTGTGAAGTTTCTGAAAATTTTCTTTGATGCAACTCTTTCCTTTTCTGGATCATTGCATGTTACGTCTAATACTTTCTTCCATAAGTTGAAAGATATTAAAAAAACATTGAATAAGTGGAGGCAAAGTAATGATATTGTATTACAAAGGATGACCAAAAATATGCAAGTCAAGTTTAGCAAGTATTGGGAGAATGACACTATAAATTATCTCTTATTTGTAGCTGTTTTCCTTGATCCTCGCTATAAGCTTGAGTACCTTGAGTTTTGTTTTAAGCGGATGTATGGTGTAGAAAAATGCAATGAATTGATGAAAAAGTTGAAGGACCTCATCAATAAATTGGTTGAACTTTATATGACACAGTATCCTATTGATGAATCTAGTAATGTTGCCTCTCAGTCTAATCTTGATATTAGCAATGATGGTAATGATGATGATGATGCATGGGAGGATGAATTTAGAATGAATGTGAAAAAAAAGCAAGGTCAAGTGAAAAGGAATGAGATAGAAAGGTACTTGGAGGATGATGTTGAAGACAATGCTCCCGGATTTGATATTTTGCAATGGTGGAAATCAAAGTCCTCAACGAAATATTATGTTCTTTCTCATATGGCTAGAGATATATTGGCTATTCCAGTGTCCACTGTATCCTCTGAGTCAACATTTAGCACAGGAGGTCGAGTTCTTGACCCATTTCGTAGTTGTTTAAGTCCCACAACTGTTGAAGCTTTAATTTGTACCAAAAAATGGATAAAAGCTAGCAAGAAAGTTGATTTACAGGCTGAAATGGATCAACTTACGATGCTTGGAGAAGGTATTGAACTTGTTAATTTTTTAACCTATATCTTCAAAGTTCTATATTTATTTCGTTTTGAACTAATTTTTTTCCCCTTTTTATGTTTCTGTTTGAATTATTTTGGCTTCAGAGATGGCAGAAGCTGAAGCATTTACAGATGTTCAAATTCAACCCAATATATCCACTTCTTGAATATAATTTTTTTGTTTTGATTGAGACTTATTTTGAATTTATATATTTGTATTAGAATGTTGTGTAATTGTGTTAAATTTATGTGTAAAAAATTATTCAAATGAAAAATATTGATATTTTTCTATTTTTTTTATACATATTTTATTTTAGTTTATTTAATCGGACAACCCGATGATCCAAACCGAACCAACCCGTTCGTGTTTGGTTCGGTTTGGTTCGGATTTTCAATTTTTTTTTACAAATCCAAACCAAACCAAACCAATCAATTTTTGATCGATTCGGATTTTTTTTTCTCCTAAACCCGAACCAAACCGACCCGTGGACACCCCTAGCTGGGACTATGTTTATGAGGTCCATTGATGGATCTAATTTTGTGAAGACTGGTGAAAAATTATTTGAGATGCTTGATGCTCTTGTGGAGGAGATTGAAGAAGATAAAGTTGTGCAAGTGATAACCGATAATGGAAGCAATTATGTCTTGGCTGGTAAGATGTTGGAAGCAAAAAGACAACATCTTTATTGGACTCCTTATGCAGCTCATTGCATAGATCTTATGCTTGAAGATATTGGAAAGCTTCCCTTGATAAAGAAGACAATTTAAAGGGGAATATCTGTTGTTGGCTTTATCTACAGTCATTCAAGTACCTTGAGTTTGTTGAGAAATTTTACAAACAAGAGGGAATTGGTGAGGCATGCAATTACTAGATTTGCAACTTCTTTTCTATCATTAGAAAGGCTTCATCAAGAAAAAGCAAATCTTAGAAAGATGTTTACTTCTAAGGAGTGGTGTAAAAACAAATTGTCAAAAGAAATTAAAGGAAAGCAAGCAACCAAAATTCTATTAAATCCTGTATTTTGGAATAATGTGGTATATACTTTGAAAATCATGACTCCTCTTGTTCGGGTGTTACGTTTGGTTGATGGGGAAAGAAGACCAGCCATGGGATATATTTATGAAGCAATGGAGAAAGGTAAAGAAGCTATTATGAAGTCATTCAAAAATAATAAAAGCAAATACAAAGATGTGTTTGAAATCATTGATAATAGATGGACTTGTTAGCTTCATCGTCCATTACATGCAGCTGGTCACATTTTAAATCCGGAGTTCTTTTATGACAACCCCCAAATAGAATTTGATTTGGAAGTTACAAATAGGTTGTATGATTGTATCAAGAGGTTAGTGTCAAGTCGGGATGTGTAACAAAGCATACTACTTGAATTACCAATTTATAAGAGTGGTGGTGGTCTCTTTGGGTCCGACTTTGCAAAATCACAAAGAAAAAGCATTGCTCCTGGTAATTCATCAAAATCTTCAACTTTTTGATTTTAAGGTTATAATTCATCTTTAGAGTTATAATTTATCTTTCATTTTATAGTTCAATGGTACAGAATTTATTGTCTGGACATTTAGCTCCACATTTGCAACAACTAGCTATCAAAATTTTGAGATTGACATGTAGTGCATCCGAATGTGAACGCAATTGGAGTGTTTTTGAGCAAGTAATTTCTCATCTATCAAGCCTACTTTCTTCTAAAAATTAGAAAGAAACTAATTAATATTTTTTTAATTAAACTCATGTTACAGATTCATTCAAAGAAGTGAAATAGGCTTGATCACAAAAAATTACATGACTTGGTTTATGTGAAATATAACCAACAACTCAAAGAACGTTACAATCTTAAAGATGTAATTGATCCAATTACACTCAATGACATTGATGAGTGTAATGAGTGGTTTGTTGGAGAAATAGATGATGATACTTATGATGAGGATGCTGAAAATGACTTAATTTTTTATGGTGATAACATTTTAAATTGGGCAACTGTTTATGAAGCTTCTGAAATTGGAGAGCCTACAACATATACTAGGCGTCATTCTAAGAAAAGAAAGAGTCCATCAAGTGGTATCACTATCAAAGCTACAAAAATTTCTAAAATCAAGGCATGTTCAACAGCCAAAAGAAAAGAGAAAATAGTTCTTGAAGAAGATGATGAAGATTTAGAAGATGAGGAGATGTCGGAAGAAACAAAAGATGAATTAAAAATTAATCTTCCACAATCTGAGGGAGAAGAGGAGGAGAGATATGCCTTGGTAGATGAAAAAGAGGATGATTATGTTGGAGTTGAAGAGGATTAAATTGATCATCTTTGTTTTTATTGTTAATTTGACATTTGATAATTGCATATTTTGTATTGAATTATATTTTGGATTGTAGGTTATGCTACATATATTTTGAATTAATTATTTTCTATCATTTTCTATGACCTATAGTATTTTTTTATATATTTTATTATATCCGCCATGGCAACCGCCATAACTTTATGGCAGTTTTTTTGGTTTCCGCCATCTGCCATTGATAACATTGGTTAAACTATAACCATTCAAGACATCTATTGATACATTGTTACTATCCAGCAGGACCAGCACAACAACGAATTTAAATTTGATTCAGATTTAAGCAACATAATTCCAGCAAAGTTATGAATTATCTACGATAAAATGCTGCAACCATAAAACCATAACCCCAGCTCCTTAAATTTTACATCTTAACCACAGTAACAAAATAATGAAACTGACTTACCATTAGAATAAGAAACAAATTAGAAAAAATGTACTATTATTGGTTTGAGAACATAAACAAATTTTCATATTCAGTTGGGGTCTTATGACAGTGTTCCATTTTTAATCTTCTTGAAATTATTTATTTATTCTACATGCATGTACACAAACCATGTGAATATAACTCTTTGAAAGTTCTTTAAACAGTAAAATTCTGAAAGCAGTTAAATCAGAAATTTACACTAATTGGGAAAGAATTAAGCAAAGGTGGGATTTTGTTGATTGATTTTCTCTATCCCTGGATCAATGAAGAAAACCAGGTAAGGAAGAGAAAGAATGATTGTAAAATGTATACAGTATACCACCTGTCTCTGTCCAACTAACTACCTCCCCTCATCCTCTTAGTCTTAGCCTTTGTTTATAACAGCCTTGACTAGTTACCTACTCTAACAGATTACAAGGCCCATCTCAACTGACAAGCCCTAACTAACAGTGACTGCTACTTGGTTAGCCCATTCTTAGTTCTCCTGTTGCAACCTTCCAAACTAGCCGTTGGGTGCTAACAATGTGGCACAACAACAAAACTATGCCCAAATCACTTGAATTAAAACTATGCTCAGCCAGTCTTGCATTGTCCAGATGTTTTGCATTATCTGAATCTTTCAGTGGAAGCAATGTTTTGTAGCAAACTTGTGTAAGAGGTAACATCCATTTTGGAATTTCAGACACAACCTACTACAAAATGAAAAGCTAAATTCTTTTTTAACCAAGAGAATCTCATCTGAGATTTTCTACTATCATCCTTATTATTTCAAAACCCTGATAGTATATTTATAGTGAAAAACAACGAAAATATATTAAGGTAGAAGATAACAAACCAACCTCAATTTTGCACTCATGGTCTCACACCTTTTACAGAGCCAAGTCTTCTGCAGCTCATCCTACAAAATACATAGGGGTAAGTAAACATGTGATCAAAATAGTGGTATTTATTAAATAGTATAACTTACATATTTATGTTGATGCTCCAACTTCAAATCTTTGACAAGTTTAATAAGCACACCAAGTATCTGCTCCAAGACCTATTTAAGAATAACAGCATTCAGTATCTACCTGCCAAACTGAACATGTTTACCAAAAAGATATACTTGTAATACATGATACACCACAAATGAAACCTCTCTCTCTCTCTCTCTCTCACACACACACACACACGCAGTGACACTTAATGTGGGAGTTTTGGAAATGTTTGTGCCAGCAAGAGAGATTATTCTTGTATTATTCCTTACGCACATACATTATAGTATTCAGCAAATTTTCTATCTGCAGAATACAGGTCATTGCGCAGTGCTGTTTCTTCTCTTTCAATCTCCTCAATCAACAGCTTTACCCTGGTAAAGTAACAGATATGAAGAGCAAGAAATTTTAGTCTACAGATATATGTCCTGTGTGGAACTTACATGTACAGAAGCATGCACTGAACACATTGGTACTACGGAAAACCTTTCCCAGTTCAAATATTTGTAATTAGCATAAGAGACAAGTAATGGAAAATATAAGGTTGGTCCGCATCTAGAATTTAAAATAAAAGGCAATTATTTTTAAAAAGGCAAAAGCCCTCCATCTAGTGGAGCAAAGAAACCAGAAATCAAATAAACTTCAATCTTTGTTACTCAGATCATCAAGATTAAAGCAAACTTTTAGCCTATTAGTCATATCAGTTGCATTTGTAACTTTCATCATTACACTAATCTAAAATTGTATGAATAAAGATCTGACCTCATTCCAACAAATTTCACAAAAATATCGATATGATTTTGTGGGTCTTTAAATTATAGTTGACTGTCTGTGCAAAAACTAACATGTCTCATTTCTGGAGACAAATGATTGAAACTAGGTTGTAGCCTTTCAGACCTTAAACTCATGTAGAAGCCTTAGTTGCATGCTTCAACACACACACACACACACCCACACCTTTAAGGAATCTTTATTTTTTAACCTACAAGTGAATAAGAATTGCTGAAAAAATTAAAAGGATTAGGCTACTCCAATGAGCTCAAACCTTTCTGGAAGCCGAGAACTTGAACCTTGACTTGCAGATGAAGGATCTGAATCAATAAATGGGGAAATGAGGAATCGACCAGCAGGTAAATACCAAATGGTAACCACAAAAACACCAACTCTCCTTCACATCTCCATGTTATACAGTAAGAAGCAGTTCTCACTTACCATTGTCATCCAATATAAAGGCATCTGATAATTTTTCACATTTCATTTTCAAGCGAGCCTCTACCTCTCGTGAAAGAGCCATGCGGTATTCTGTCATATCCTAAAGATATTGTTAATGTGTCAATAATGAAAAACATAATATTAATTACTTAAGAAAAAGAAAACACAAAAAGAGCACTCCTAGAAGCTGACTGACTTTCATACACAGTTACATAGTATACCACAGATAATGGTGCTTGTTGATGCTGAGTTTGCCACAAATAACCAGGTGTAATTCCCAAAAATCGATTGGGGACACCACCAACTCCAGGTTCCACTGGATCCAAAGCAGCAAGAGAAGAGTTAGCCCCGCTAACAGAGCTATTTGGAGTGTTATAATTAGAAGAATTCGTGTTTGAGTTGATCAGGGCACTGTTGCTAGTACTGTCAAGGGATGTTCGAGACACTACACTCAGCTTTTCAATATCTTCATCACGAACTTCTCCATCTTTGGAGATTAGAGGTAGTCTCAATCGTTGAGCTGCTTCAGCAACAATCATTTGATGCTCTAAAGTCTGATAAACCTGACAATAAATACACATGTAGATTTTGTTTAAACCAATGTAGACAAATGTGCCAAACAAAAAAACATATAAGGACAGACTGAACAGGCTAAAACTTTCTAAGTCCATAATCAGCAGCATTTTCCCAGAGGAAAAGTAATCTGACTTTCCAGAAATAATAATTCAAAACCTGAGGAGTGTTCCTCAATCCAAGCTGCGGATAAAGACTTCCAGTATCTCTAATTCCACCAAGGTTAGACACAGAAATGGCTTGCTGATACTCTTCCACCATAGCAATGGCCTCAGAATATATAGCCTGCAACCCAACCACCATATGAGAGATAAATAAAAATCACCAAACAAACACTTACACTACACTTAACCAACACATTCCAGCAATACCAAAAACCAAACACTCTCACTCCAAGATCATAATTCTCAATTCAACTATCACATATAGAAAAACCTTTACCATGGCTTCCAGGTAACGCAGTCTTTCCCTGCACATTTCCTCTCTGGCCTGCAAATTAACACAAAATCAACACCCAACTAGATTGTATTTAATTATTTGGATATTTGCCAAAATGGGTCAAGAAAAGTTTGAATTTTTGGAGACAAAACTGAGCACCCATTTTGCAATTCTGGTGGGAAATTTCACAAACACAGAGAAATCAAAATGGGATGTCGTTAGAAACAAGAGAGAGAGGTACGAGTTGGAGATCGTTGAAGAGAGGCTTGGAGATGAGAGATCCATCGGGAGCCAAGCAGTGGCGCTCCAGCTGATCAACCACCTGCGCCACGTCGGCGGGGAGGTTCTGGCCGTGCAGTCCCTTCACCATTGATCGAAACGGTGTCGTTTGAAGACAGCCCCTTTCGGTATCGATCACTACTGGGGTTTGTGCCTTAGACTTGAAGAAGAGGCAAGTTCAATGAAGTGGAAGTTGAAGATCTCACTTCTCAAACTCCAACCATCCCATCATCCAAAAAATTTGAAAATGAAGCATCCATTTGTCAAGTAAGAGAAAACTCCCTCCTTTTTTTTTTCTTTTTCATGTTATCTTTCGACTTTTAACTTTTTTTTTTAATTTGTGCTTATAATTATGTTTTAAGAAGTTAAAAAAATATTAATTGATAGTCATTTAATGTACTTTGAAGTATATAATATATTTATTAGTAAGTTTTTTTTTTTTCTGCGCTACTATTTTTTTTTATTTAATTGATAGCATAAAAAATTTATAATACTGTATTAAAATTAAAATTCTAAACATATTTCAAGTATAATAATATATAAAAATAAACTTTGAGAATCTTAAGAATGTATAAAACTTAAGAGTCCAACTATATTATTAAGAAGTTTAATTTTATAAATTAATATTACTTTAATTTAATTATAATTGAGTTGAGTTTTTTTTTTTTTTTACAAGATTATAAATGAAAAGGTTTAATGGCACTTACAAAAATAAAAAGTGATTTAATAAAAGTGCTAAATCACATGGATATTATAATATTATGCAATAAATAAATAAAACAAATAAGTGTGGAATGCTCAAATCCAAACATAATTTTACAGTCTTAAAGAAAAAAAAACTTAAAATTACGCATTTGATAAAAAAAAGAACATTTATAGAATTTCAAGAAATAAAAAAAATCTCGATTTTTTTCCTTCTCTTTTGGATTAACACAAAACCACCAAACCTTTATAATAAAAATGACAATAAATTTGATAATGTTATACAACAGTGCTTTAACTAAAATGTTACAGCTACTAAGATGCTTCAGTAAATGATAGAAAATACTACAAACATATCTAATGTGGATAGAAACTACTACAAACAAGAAATCAAAAAACCTCAAAAAAAAGGAAGAAAACTCGTAAAGGATGAAGGAGGCAAAGAGGAGCCTCAAAGAGAGCAACTTTGTTGTCATTACAGCAACTACTATGATGCTTTTTGCAGAAAGAACGAGGTGAAGTTGCATGTCGATAACCTTAAATTTGTCCCACCCTATGCCATTTGTGAAGGAGAAAATTTGAACCCAACTTCACAAACTCAATCAAATTGACTTTTCTATATGAAAGTTTCATAACCTCTAAATATAGCTTTTTTACATATGGAATGTTTTATGTAGTGAGTTTAAGTTTCAATGTAATATTTTGTAACAACAATCTACATACTTAACGATGTTATTAAGCTTTTGTTAAAATAAAATTAATATATTAATGTCAAATGATGCTGCTTATCTATGGCTAGCTACCTACAATATAATGTGTTAGTCCAAGTTGTTATATGTTTTTTTAGGATGAAATTTCTCAAATTGATCAACCCTAATTTTTTCATTTTATCTATTAATTTGTACAATATTCAACAACACTTATCTATTACAAAATTCAAAGTTATTGTAGAAAAGTGCACGTAGTTTGATAAATAAAAAAGTAAACTCATTTTAATTTTTAAAATTAAATGTATCAACCACTTTAATCTTTTAAATTTATAAAATCTTATCCTTAATTTTATAAAAATTATTATTTTATCATTTTATATAATAAAGATTAAAGTAAATATTATTTTAAAATGTCAAGATTTTAAACATTACATAAAATTAAAAGAATTGACACTTATAACCTAACATGGTAAAATAAAAATTTATTCTTAATAAACTATTTTATCTTTTACTAAAATATGAACCTGTAAATTTTGTTCCACGTACATTAGTATATTTTAAATTTATATTAATAAATTTTATTACAAATTAATAATAAAAATATATTATATTTTCATAAATATATTTATTATATAAATTTATTTTAACATGCTTTTGTATATATTAAATATTTTGTTATATTAAGTTAAATTTTTATTATATTCAAATGAAATAATATAATATATATTAAAATATGCTCGTAGTACACAATAAAAATTAATGGTTCAGTGATTACAAACTTCATTTCTAGGTTAAAATCACCAAGTTCAAACCTTTTTATGATCACTTGTTTTGACAGCAAAAGCTAAATGTTGCAGTGCTGTATGCGAGTTGCTATGTAAAATGTATATATTAAGATGATACTTAACATGTCATATAAAAACTTGGTTATAAATAACTGACACACACTTAACACTAACAACCAAATTAATTGATGATTGCCAAACTCAATGATTAAACTTATTTTCTAATAACAATTTTGGTAATATATTCAAAAACACATAATAAAAAATTTATTATAACATTTAATATTATTAATAGTTTTTAATGCATTCCATAAGTTTTAATAAAAACTTATGAGGACCAAACATTAAAAAAATCATTTTAATTCTAGCAAAAAAAAATCATTTTAATAATGTGAAGACCAAATTGATATTATTACTCCTTAAAAAACTATTTCATTAATCCATTGCAAGAATATCCTTTGTCCCCCCTTCAAGTGAATGTGCCAATATTTTACAAAGCAATGCAAACAATTAATAAACATTACACGGAGCATAAAATGATTTATGTTAACCAAAGAATGTGACTAACATCATTTACGTAATCCAAAGTGTGCAGAATCAAAATCCTATATTCCTATTATAAACCTTTTAAGTACATTGCTTCAGGTTTTCATCACAATCAGAACTTTCTACTACCTCAGAAATAGACAAAATGCATTTCCATTATTAATCTTGCATCTCAACAAAAAATGATCTCTCTTTTCATGTACAAACAGCGCAGATTTTGGTCCCATCTCAACGCCTAGGTGAAGAATACTAAGATGAAGAGGAAGATGAACAGGGCCAACAAACCCAATATCATCATGATCTGGCCCTTTGCACTAGCCTTCTTCATAACCATTGCCACTTTTTTCTGTAAGCATAACAAAAGGGCAACATTTCACCTCCTCAAGAGTTATTAACTAGTAAGTAATAACAACAAAGAGTGACAACTTTTTTGTCTTTCAAATTTGTTATTGGTAAAGCCGCCAAATAACAAATTTCCAAAAGTCAGATAAAACCAAACATGAAGATTTGAATGAGAAATGAAGAGTAGACTCAGAAACTCACTTGGACAAAATCAAGACGATTTGTTGTACTGTCCATCTCGGTACCGAGTTCATCTATAATTTTTTCCTGAAGATTTTGACGGTGTAAGAATCAGAAATTTCTGACATAAATAGAATTTATTTCACAGTTACAGAGGCATGAAAACATATTTTTTATTCAAGAAAAATGAAGGATATAACACATCAAGACTTAAGGAGCTGTTTGGTTTCAGAAAATGTTTTCTTATTTAATTCTATTTCCTGTTTTCAAATATTTGTATAAATTAAAATAGCAAGAATCATGGAGTGTAAAACCGCTCAAACCATTACCTGTGCAACAAGTTCATCATGTATTGTAAGTCCAACACCTCCAATTCTCCGTACACTTTCACTAAGCTCATCCAATTCCTCATCCTGTCTCCTGTCAGCCCAACAGATATAAATCAAAACTACATAGCAACCAGAGGCAGATTGTATTTCCAGAAAGGATAGGCATGCACATAATGTTTTCATTACTGTTGAGCAGTGTGATTCATGTCCTAAAGGTTCCCTACTATTGGCTTTTATTCCTTTCTTTCTGTTTTCTTTTTTATTCCACAAGAAAGAAAAAGGAAATCGACCATGTCAGTTCTGAGTCTAAATAAATCATAAGAGTACATCCAAATATCACTCTAATTAGCAAAAATAGTAATGAGAGAAACTTTCTTCACAACCATAAATTTATAAGCAGTTAATGAAATGATGATGGTAGAAAATTTGCATACAATCACACACAGAGCAATCACTTAGGTTTAACATCACAGTTCATTCAACAACAGAAGTAGCTCAAAAAACATGTCACTTTCACACAAGTTTCATGCACATAGGAAGGATCTCAGTCCCTCACTTATGTCTGAGCAAGCACCAGGGAGGAGTAGGAGTGAGCAATACAATTTAATCCACTTAAGAGGTCAACTAAACAAACAAGACATTCTTTTCTACCTAATATGCAGAAAAATAGCCATGATTAGAAGAAGATATGCAAAGGTCAATTAAAAAGAATAATAATGTCAGGCCATGGTAGAACAAAAGACAAATGCAAAATCCAGCTTCAAAGAGAGAGAGAGAGAGAGAGGGAAGGAGTACTTTATAAGAAGCGTCTGTCTATCTGATTCTGATTGTATGAAATCATCATTATCTTGGGAAGCATACTGGTTGGATGCATTGGTTTGATGAGAATTTGGTAGCTTCATGAGTTCTCGACGCATCCCATTTACACTAGCATGGTTTATTGTACTTGATCCTTTTCCAGCTTCTGCTGCTTTCTTCATTGTGCCAACCTAATAATGCAACAATGGAATCTTTTATGTTTGATATTAATAAGAAAATAATAATACTCCCTCTGATCCTTTTTCTAAGACACATTATAGAAGCTTTTGGTGGTTCATTTTATAAGGCACTGTGCAGTTTTTATGAAGTATTTATTATATTTTCTCATTTATCTTTGATAAATGGAGTTAGAGGGAACCTAAATTAAAACTAAGAAGGGTAAAAGTTGATAGTGGAGTTAGGTTCAATGATATTAAATAAGGGTAAAATTCTCATGTTATAATATTTATAAAAAAAAAATCAACAAACTTTAACAACTTTTATTGGTCTGTCTAATTTAGTTAAAGATTCCTTATAAGAAGGACTAGCCGGAATAATAAACAGAAACTGTCTATTGAGTTTGAAAAAATTGATTGTCTTCCTTCCTAAAATTTGGCATACATTTTGGATACCTGAGTACGAGCAGTGTTTGTCCATCTCTTCCGGCTTTCAACCTCTGCTTCATCAATGCCATACCAAGAAGGATCTCTAGATGCTACAGCAATTGCTTTATCCAATTCATCCACCTTTCTATCAGAAAAATCAGACTTCAGCCATCGTATATAGGTTAAGTTACAGAAGAAAAGACCATGCGCAACAAAGAATGATTTACTCCAAACATTAGCCCTGTTTTTTATGTGGAATGACAGAGGCCTTCAATCCTAAAAGACTAAATGTATCTTTGTTGAGCTGAAAAGAGCAGGTGGAAAATTTTGGACGAAATCACTTTAAACTAGCTCTCAGTACTATACAAAATTGTACAATGCTTGAAAGTGAAGTGCAACTCATTTTCGCTCCCCTCCCACAAGTTTGGGACTTTTGTATAGCATAAAAAAGGCTGAAAGTGACTTTCTATCCATTTTCCACGCTTTACCAAGCAAGATGCTTGAAAATCAAAATCCTCCCATCCAACTCTATTTTAACTTCACTCTTTATTTTGCATCTCCCTCTAGCTAGCTCACCTAGGGTATGTTAGGGAATCGGGTGGGAAAGCTAAGTATAAGGGATTGGGAGGATAAATGATTGTTTCTATTTCTCTAGGCTAGAACTAGATATTTCAATAAACAAGGGAAGGAAAAGAAGAGCTAAATGATAATAACAAATTAATTATGATACATTTTTACAAATGAGTTATTTATTAATAATCAGTTACAGTACCATTACAAAACTAAAATCGTATAAAAATGATATTAGAAACATTTTGAACGAAATTACAATAACTTGGTTTCTTTCTCTTTCAAAATCCCCCAAGATAGAGGAACTTAGAAAAGTTAGCATTGAAATATTTGGAGTTTCATGTGCACCAACTGCCACCAAAGCACATCTAATGATTCCGAATTCATGTAAATAACAGCAAGAGCATGCTGGAAAAATGGAAAATATCATTGAAAGATAAGCCAACTTGTCACTGATTCTGCATATGCATGCTGTAAGTCTACCTGCCATTCTAAGCTTTCGCATCCAGCAACAACCTCCTTCGTAAGATGTCCTCGTTCCACAGCATCAGAAGTTCTTTCCCATTGGTGAAAGGTAGATTGCAACTTATCAATCTTAGCAAAAAATGGAAAAATAATCAGACAATTAAATATATCATCCTACTTAAAAAATAAAAAACCATCCCATCAAAAAATAAATCCCAACACCATAACAAATCATCAGTTCACATTTCTGTTTAGTAGAATTTCCTATTTCAGTCACAGATCCAACTTCAATTTTAATTCAAAACTCTAAATTCACAAATAGTATGTCTATTCACTGTTCTCTGCTTCAAACCTCAAATCACAAATACATCCACAAAGAAATCGCGTAGTGTAAACACGACAAAGTAACAGATCGCAATTGGGTTCCGTTCAGAATCCCAAATTTACCCAGGGAAAAGCATAATCTGATTAATAACCAGAGAAAACAGAAAATGAAATGTCAATTACTGATAAGACAATTAAATAAAAACTTAATAGCAATCTTTCACTCAAATACGCAGTACGAATTATCCATTGAAAAATTAAATTTCTTATTCGAATTAGACTGAAAGCGAACCCTAGGTAATTTGCGAATAATAGTAATAATTAAAAAAATTACAGAATCTTGAATCTCGGCCTTGACAACGTAAAATGGATCCTGAGCAGAGGGCATGTTATGATGTGAATGAGAGAGGAATGAATGGTTCAGAGAGAAGAAGAACAACACTTCCACAGCGTTTGCTTTGCTTCTTCCTTTCCCCTTCGATTATTCTACATATCAGTTCTTCATGCTAAGTAAGAACATTGATTTATCAAACAGAAAAAATAACATAAAATAAATAAATTATCAAACTATTAGAAACTTCTATTAATATACAGTTATAATAATTTTCAATTTATTTTTAATAACATTATTTTAAAAAAATTAATTGAGGTATTATCTTTTTTGTCTCTTATAAATATTAAAAAAATTCAACAATATTATATGATACCAACGATTTATTCCAACAAACACGAAATGCATTTGTTTCTTATTGGTTAAATATCAAAATAATAAAATTAAAGATCGGTAATTAATTTGACAAAAATCAAGGGATGCTACTTATTAATAATTTTCATTATTTTTGTATTCAAAAGATTTTGTACTATTAAGTAATTTATTTTAAAGAATTTCAATAAATTGATTAATTATTAAAAACTAAAAAATAGTGGCTAAATACATTTATTTAATTTTGTAAAAGTGAACGTGGCAATGATCACTAATAATTTTTTTAAAATAAACCAAAACATGCTAATATTTTGAAAAATCATTTTAATAAAATGGCTTAAGATAAACTTACTAAGGTGACGGAAAATGCCTTTAAAAAACGTGAAGGAAATTGGCAAAAATAATTTATAAGTAACTTTTGCAATTGTTCATCACCTACTTTTATATTTTGTATTTTATTATTATATGCAGGTTATTTAATATATTTTTCATGTTAAATTATATTTTATTTTGACTTATAAAAAATTTATACTCTCATTTATATAATATTATATCTCAAATTTATTTTCTCGTGTGTTTGTGTGTGTTAATTTTTAATTTAAATTTTTTCAAAATTATTTATTTCTTTTCTAAAAGGTTTTTAAATCTTACAACTTAAATTTATCAATTTTACTTGAATTAATTCAACTTTTTTATATTTTTAATTTATTTTCTATATTTTACTCAAAATTTAAAATTTTGTAATATATATATTATCAATATGTATATTATCAACATCTTAAATTTGATACTATCAATTTCATCGATAATTAGAACATAAATGCTTTTTACCTTTTGATATCTCGATTGTGAAAATAGTTGAATTTTGATATCCTGCCACTGTTAATTAATTAAAAGTTATGGTGAATATAACTTTTAAGCAATTATCATAAAAATTAATAATTTTAATAGATGATAATTTATTATTAGATGATAATGTAAGTCAAATTATTTTAATTAAATTTTAAAAGTAGTTAAATTAGTTTTTCTTATCAATTGGTGGAAATTCTAAAATATATTATAAATACAAATATTTAACCTTAAATATTCAAAATAGATATATTGGTTCATTTATTTCTCTTCATACTAGCTATTTATAACATATACAACTTATTTTAATAATTTCTGTCTTAAAAAAAAAATTAGGTTAAAGCTTCTTCAATGGAACAAGGGGAGGACTAGTACAAGAATCCTCTTATAAAACACAGAAAGAGTGCTCTCAATAACGTAAACTGATCAAATTATTTAATATTTTAAAGGATAAATTATATTGAACAATTTAAATTTTTTAAATGAAATCCTTAAGTCTTATATTGCTAAACTTTTGTCAAATAAAATTTTAAGATTATTTTTTAAAAGTTTGCTTCATATTTTCTTTGATTATTCAATTCAACTAATGATTAAATAATGATATATTAAGATTTAATCTTTAAAAAATATTATTGATAATTTTTGCTTTGCAAATTACTAAATTGATAACATGTGTCTAGATACGAAATAAGATTTTAGTCTAGAATTTCTCTGATTGCTTTTTGTGGGTATTTTCAAGAAAATTCTTACTTTGATACTCTAAAGTTACATATTTTATTACATTAGTCTTTTAAAAATTCGCAGAATACTATGTAAATAATCAAACCTTAACTTTTAAATAAACAATAAGCATATAGACTTTATAAAATTTATCAATCGTTAAGAAATAAAATATAGTCCTGTTAGAAAAAAAATGGATAATTTTATTAAATAAAAATTCAATGTAATTAGTCATAAGATCCACTAATTATATTTAATAAAAAAAATGTGTTTGAATATAAGCCAAATTTATTTAGTTCTAAGTGTAATAAAAACAAACAGCAAGGCACATTTCAACCATGCATTTCATAGTTATTTTATTAATTTGGGGGCTGTAAATGAGAATGGAAAGAGATAAATTGAGGTAACATTACTATCACTTTAAATTATAAAACAGCTTATTACAGAATTAGGAGTATACTATAAACAACATTTTACTCACATGTTTGGTTTTGTATCTTTTAACCTGAGACACGCCTTTTCTTAACTACAGAGAGTAGCGTTTTGCGATTGGTTAATCATAGCATTATAACACGTTCAAAAACTTAACATGAATTCATTGCAAAGTTATAATCAATAACACACAATTCAAACACAGGCTATGATTCAAAAAATAGCCGCATTTGGACGAAGAAAATTTTCAGGTCTCATTTTTTGGAACCTGCAAGGCTTAAATTATGAGACCGCAACCAGAAGTTTCTGGATCAGACATGGGTGGAATCTAATACGTGTAGAAATTCATGGATCTGAATCCTCTGTACACTCAAACTTCATGTGCGGTGTGAGAGAGATACAGAGAGCATACAGGTCTCATTGTTTAGAAAAGGAATGCTAACTGATACTTTAAAGATACTAGTTAAGAAATAAAATAACAAAATTCTATTAAAAAATGTGAATTTCCACTTTCTGATTTCTAATGCACTATCAAAATAATTAATAATAATCTTTTTATTTATTTATTGATTCTTTATCCAGTACCATAAAGGCATTGGTTAGCACTTAGCAAGATTCTTTCGTAAATTTCGAAATTCACCTCTTGTCTATCTCATTCTAGTTACATCTACAATTCAACTACCCAGGATTCAAATCCACTTTTTCATAGACAAATAACTAAGGCTACTAATCTTGAGTTCTGTGTTATCTCGGTTTTACAGTTCAGGCTCTGGCAAGGGTCCTTGCAAATGCAACCAAAAGTACAAATGCCTTTCTCAACGAGCTGCATAGTTAACAAAACTTTGATTTGAGAGCTGCAACAAAATCTACTTGGGAAGAACCCAATTACTCAGTAGAGTATGCAGACGCATTGCAAATGCAGAAAGCATCAGGTTGTCTTATTGGTCGTATTCTTTGGACAAATGTCTATCAAATTATCAATGAATTAAAATTTCTTGAAACGTGCACACAAGAATTATATCAAAATTCTTGAGGAACAAATAAATATCATGCACGGCTTTTCAAAACAGAGAGTGAGGCTAATACAAGAATGTTGGAGTCAGCAAGTCCTTCTTAGTTGTAATGAAAGCTCAAGTTGGAGGTTGCCAGGTTCCTGGTCGAAAAGACGCACCAGATCCTGTTGGCTCTGAAGACCTGAAGACAAAGTTTTATGAACAGGTAAGGTATAATAATGATATCACACATGATATCTCTGATAAAATCATTTAACATTTACGAAACAATTGAAATTTGCTTCAAGGTTTATGGGTAAGAGCATAGATTTTATTTCATTAACTAAAATTAAGATTTATAGAGGCTTTGCTCAATCATAATGTTCCCAGACTTAAGAATATACATATTTGGACTTACTCGGACTCATCTTTTGCTTTCTCAGCTAAGCCCTCTCTAGGATTCCTGCAGATAGATCATATGATTTCTATTAAGTTGAATAATTATGCCTAAACCATTTTTTACAAACGAAAACAACTAGATTTAATCGAAAATAGAGGACACAAACAACAATTGCAGGTTGAAAGAACATCTACAACAGAATAAGACCATGAATATGGACTTCAAGACCATGACACTGCAAATCAAAACCATCCAACCAAAGAATGTGTATGCTTATTAGTAAGAGTGTCACTGGATCTACTCTCTATATAGATTTTATTCCTTGATGTATATTTGGGAGTGGAGTGTTGTAAGGAAAGGGAAGGCAGGACAACTTTTTTAATTTTAAATGAAGAGTTACATAATGTTTATAAAAATAAACAAAAGTTTAAGACACTAAGTTTAAATAATTTCTACAGTGCTTTGTAAATTAAAAAGATATTCTATGCCCTCTCACATGTAGAACAATTAGCAACGTTGATTTTACATAAAATATGTATAATAGATAGTGGGGGTTACTGGTCTATTTGGAAAAAGCATAAATGTTTTTAATCTCTAGGATATTACAGGAATCACAGCCATCAATTTAAAGAAGGCACAAAATATTATCAAATTTATGCTATTTTTATTTCTTTTATTTTTAAAAATGATCAAATTAGAGAATATTTATTAGAAATAAAAAGTTTACCATTCCTTCCCTATCCTTCCAAAACCGCATGTACCCTTATGGAAAATAAACCAAAATGTTGCAACATGAATAAAGAGAAGAATACCAAACAACTTCTTGACAATATTTTAATAAAAGGATGGGAAGAAAAAGGAAAGCTAAACTACCATCAAATTCTGATAATTGAATTAGGGATCTAGATTCAGTCCCGTTAATGCGAGAACTAGACGTCTAGTTTCATTTTTACTTTAACAAAAATAAACTCATTTAAGCGAAAATGCAGAAAACAATAAATTTTTTTTTTTATGCAAATTTAACTTAAGCGAATTTTTTTGACTTAAGTGAATTATGTGTATTTGAATAGATGAAAGCTAAGTGTGAGGGGAAGAGAAGACTGAGGATAAATGGAGATAAAGAGAGTGATAGTATAGGGGTGGTGAGAAGAAGAAAAACGGAGTTGGGCATGGGGTGGAGTAAAGAGGGAGTTGGGAGAGGAACAGAAAAGTTGAGTATAAGAGAGAAAAAAAGGTTAAATATGGAAGTTAAAGAGGATTGAATATGAAAATTGAAAGGAGTGTTAGGCATGAAGAGAAGATTGAGAGAAAAGATATAAAATTCACTTTAAGACAAAATAATTTGCTTAAACTAATTTTATATAAAAAAATTATTATTTTCTGCATTTTTGCTTAAACAGAAATGAAACTGAACGTTCAGTTCTAGCATTAATTAGACTGGATTCGGATCCCTGAATTAGACATAAGAGAAGAATTAAAACTGCTATGCTGACCCAAGACTGCAATACAACAAGTGCATGCATTTTAAACAATATATTAGGTAATAAATTATCAATTTCAAAAGACTCACCTCAAGTGTGAGATAGGTTTCTGTTTTTTTGGGCTTTTATGCCTCATTTAAATAGCAAAAAAAAAAAAAAAAAAAAGACTCACCTTAAGCCACCCTTTGCACTAGGTGATTCTTCAACTTCATTACCTACGGTGGAGACAATGTGTCAAAAATTTTATTCAAAGAATATGTAATGCATAGATATTGCAAGAATCCCCTCTTTTGGGAAGGCTTTCTCTCTTTCTTTAGGAGGGGTGGGTGGGATAAAAAATCTCAAAAATCTATTTATGAACAAGTAAACGTAATTATTTGAGGAATGCTAACAATATACTCTCTTTAACATATTTCTCACTATTGATTAAAATTTATTGAAAACTACAAAACTCATGTGAGTCTCATTTTTTCTCACTCCTAAATTAATGTTTCTCGACATATTTCTGTAGTTTTCAATAAATTTTAACCAATAGTAAAGAGTTTATTAAAGAGAATATGCTACTAGCATTTTTCTAATTATTTGCATGAACTAATTAAAATTCTATTTTTTTAAATGAAGGGAAGGGGAACATTTTACTCCCTCAAAATGAAAAAAAAAATCACTTTCGGTTTAGCCAAACACTTTCTTTCAAAAAGAAAATGAAAAAGAACTCAATATTTCTGTCAAAAAGAAAATAAAAGTAAGATGACCTTCTGAAGGAACTGGAAATTGCCGAATAAAACTTTTCAAGTCTGGACCACCATTTTTTCCTGCAAGAAAATTATGAATTAGTCAATAACTCCCAAGGGTACGTAAAGAAGAATATTGCAGTACAAACAAAATGTGAAGCCACTGACCAGTGCTGGCACGTTTGCCTCTACTGCCTTCTTTGGCCATCCTTTCCTCTTCTTCTTTCTTGCGAACTTAATGAAAAAAAAGTATGTTAAGGTCTATGTACAGAACTAAACTTGGTCTAGAATGTTCTTTCATTACATTTAGAACTATCACTTGTAATTATGAGGACAAACTTAAGAGAGGGATATAACTAATCAGAACAAAGTATTCAATTCAAACATATTGATTTGTGAAGGTAGAAGTATAAGTGACACATACGAGCAACATTCTGTCTAACACGTTCACGTCTTGCTTCCAATTCTATCATTTCCTGAATAGAAAAGTATTGTAAAATAATACTGCATAGTAACTTAATAGAAAAACCCCAAATAAAGAAAAAGTGGATAAAATATGATAGAACAACTGTACAAGAGAAGGTGAGGGTGGGGGGATCCAACTACTGCAATCAACTGATCAGAGATAAATTCACTTCAACAAATAAAAAAATAATGACTTCTCCAAAAGATTTGTAAAAGAAAGAAAAACAATATAACATTGACTGAGTCTGAATCTAATAGTCTCTAAGTTAAGTAATCTTCCTTTTTCATATGTTTGTCTGATTATACTATTGAATTCACACAATTCAAGGGCAACAAGGTACCATCTTTAGAACGCTTCATTGCAAAACAAGTTAGTTTGCTTATGATAAATACGCTGACGGAGTTAGTTTAAAGTCATTGGTCCAATCTAAATATTATTGTCTCAGAAGCAAATTGATAAACAATGGACATATTTTAAATAAAATTGCCTATACTACTGTGCTGGATGTAAGGTTATTACATGAATGGAATTTCAAAAGGAATGGTTAATCTATTGCATTCCTTGTTTCCTTAGTTCATATTTTTCTTTTTCTGGTGAAGATAACCTTTGTCCTATTCTACTTCTGTAAAAGAAGAGACTTGAAGTTTTACAATGTGATAGAGAGATAACATCATTCAATATAAATTCATTGCAAATCAATCTTTGAAGATAAACATAACTTTAACAAAAAATCATTGTAAGCAATATATCATATTATCTAGTGTATCCACTACATGAACATTCAAAGAAGCATCTATAAATTTGTCTTTACATAGCTTTATTGCACTGACAAAATGATACAATATATAAAATGCATTTCAATTTACCTCTGGAGTTGGAGCCTTTTTACGCTGTCCATTCAGCCAACATATCCATTCAACTGAAATAATTAAACAGTAATTATCCATTTAGAATGGGGAAATAGGATAAAGAATCATGGGTTTTTTCTGAATATCCTCAACATATAAAATAACTGAATCCACCCCCGAATCAAAATGCAATAATTTAGCAGTCAAATGATAGCTACTGTAAAATGTATACCTGGAATAGAGGTAGGATCATCCTCTCCCTTAAATATCACCCATCTTTTTTCTTTCACTAGTAAACCAAAACAAAATAGCAGAATCAGACAGATTCATTGTAAAATGAGCTACAACGCAAAAACACACCGAAAAAGAAAGAGTAAGAACTGGAGTTAAATTCCAAATTCATACTCACACACTAAAATGGTATCTTAATCCTTAAGTGATTCAATCTAGCAGCAGAAAATGGAGCCAAATTTTAGCTGCCAATAAATCAATTTATTTATTTAATTTTCCAAAATCATGTCAATTTCACCAAAGTAAACATCAAACAAGAACTACTAACCTCAAAAAACCTATGACAACTGCACAGTTAGTCCCCACCTCCACCAATCTCAAAGCCCAACATTCAACCTTTTTGGTTCATTATCACATTTTTAATAATAAAAAATTAAGAATATCAGGTATATCATATGAGTAAAGTATTGACAGTGTGCCGATCATTGCAATCCAAAAACACCCTTTTTGCTAGATAACACAAAATGTTCATACAAGGCAAACAAACTGTACATATATAAAGCCAGAATCTCAAAACACAATAAAACACATTAAACACACACACACTCAACATACTAAACAATATTAACACAAGAAGAGAAAGAGAGAAAGAAAGTGACTTACTGATACCATCAATCTCTTCCTTTCTAGTGAAATATTTGTTCCCTGATTTATCGACTCCCACCATAGTTCGATTGCTCAAGAACCCAGCAATCTTCCCAAGCAGCCTCCGCATTTTTAAAAAAAAATTTAAATTCTTTTTCAATAGAAATTCAAATGTGTTGCAGTGACAGCATCGTCGTTGGAAAAATCCAACGTTGGAGATTGGAAATATTACAATACAATTTTGCTACAATTGCAATTCAACGTTGATTCTAGAGAGGGAGGGAGTGTGTGCGCGACGGGGAAAACGGAAAATCTCGAGTTTGGTATTGTTCGCTGTGTCCGGTTCGGATCTATTGCGGACCACCCATGATCCGGTTCTTTGTACCAAATTGTCCATTTTCAATTTTCTTTGAAATAAAAAAGAACTAAGAATAAAAGAATGAACGAATAATATATTTCAACGTTGTTTTTCACGTACTAATATCTCAGGACATGTTTAAATTAATTTATTTTGAATTAAAAATATAATAAAATTCCTCAAAATGTAAAATAAAATAATCCAATAAGGCTTCTAAACTTGTAAAATATTGAGTTGATATTCAAAGTTTAATAACTTTGTCACTTAATCTTATTTGATTTTTTTGTTAAATTTTTTTATACATTTTTAACATATATTATAATTTATAAATTTTTAAAAATATGTTTAAAAATATGATAAATTAATTTTCATAAAATTTCAAAATAATATTAAAAGAGAAAAATATTTAAATCATAAGTATGCATAAATACTTTTAAAAAAATAAAATATAAAATAACATATGTCATTCTCTTAAAAAGATATTACACTAAGAAAATCGCTCTCAAAACAACACATTGTAATTTATTATATAAAATTATATTTGAAATAATTAACTTAAGAAGACGTATATATTTTTGTTAGGGATATATTTAACGAGAGATTCCTTTTTATATGAAAGCTAAAAAATAAATTTAGATCGTACAATTTATATATAAATAATTAATATTTAATTTTCTTACTTTCATGATAAATAATTTTTTCTCATTTAATACATTTGGTGCTTCGATTATCACATTTTCTTTTTCTTTAATTAAAAAATAATACATTAATAACTTTTATCACAAAATAAAATTTTATGATGTCAAATTTCTTCTAAAATGTTGTCCATTAATTAAGATTTTAAAATAATTTTTATATGGATAAGAAAATTTTATTTTTCTGAATTTTTTGTCAAAAAAATCAGATAAAAAAAGAAAAAAATAATTATGACTTAATTTTTATTTAGACCAAGAATTTTGTTTATGGAAGCCCATGTTGAGCCCAACAAGGCCTACCATTTGGAATCTAGAAAGCCCAACCAACCATAACACTTCCCTGTCCTAATGTTTTTCTCGCAAACCAAACGCACCACGACGTTGACTTTCCTTAGCACAGTCAACAATGAAGAAACGCCATCCCACAGTAAAACCACCACTACCCCATCTGAACCCCTAACACTCACATACCTCACTTCACAATCCCATGTTTTCCCTCACTCTCCCTAGTGAGGTCCCTTCAAAATCCATCTTTTCTTTCCCCCAAACCCGGTTCAACCAAACCCGGTTCAAACCCACCCCGGTTCGCTGCGGCATTCGCGAACTCCGAGAACGAATTGTAACGGTGAAGAACACGCAAAAGATCACCGAAGCAATGAAGCTTGTAGCCGCCGCCAGAGTCCGTCGAGCTCAAGAAGCTGTCGTTAACGGAAGACCCTTTTCCCAAAAACTCACCGAAATGTTAAACGACATCAACCAACATCTCCAAAACGACGACGTTTTTGTACCATTGACCGTCGTTAGACCCGTCAGAAAAATCGCCCTTGTAGTCATCACAGGTGACCGTGGCCTCTGCGGCGGTTTCAACAACTCAGTGATAAGAAAGGCCATTACCCGAATCGAAGAATTGAAGAAACTCGATGTGGGGTGTGTTGTTATTAGTGTTGGCAAAAAGGGTAACTCTTTTTTTGGTCACAAAAACGACCCTTTTGTCGAAGTTGATAGGTTCGTCGAAAGTGGCGGTTTTCCAACCATAAAAGAGGCTCAGGTTATTGCTGATGATGTTTTTTCACTCTTTGTTAGTGAGGAAGTTGATAAGGTTGAGCTTGTGTACACAAAGTTTGTGTCTTTGGTGAAGTTTGATCCTGTGATTCACACTTTGTTGCCTTTGTCAGCAAGAGGAGAGGTTTGTGATGTGAATGGGAATTGTGTTGATGCAATGGAGGATGAGTTTTTCAGGTTGAGTTCTAAAGATGGGAAGTTATCTGTGGAGAGGGATGTTGTGAGGTTGAGAAAGAAGAAGAGTGATGAGGTGTTTCCCCTTATGGAGTTTGAACAAGACCCGGTTCAGATTCTTGATGCCATGTTGCCTCTTTATTTGAATAGTCAGATTTTGAGGGGGTTGCAAGAATCTGTGGCTAGTGAGCTTGCTGCTAGAATGGGTGCCATGTCTACTGCCACTGATAATGCTGTTGAGTTGAAGAAGAGTCTCTCAGTTGCGTACAATAGGGAACGCCAGGCAAAGATCACTGGGGAGTTGTTGGAGATTGTTGCTGGAGCTGAGGCATTGCCACAAATTGATTGACTAATATGGATTTTATTTTGGATTTGGATCTTCTTGTGTTGTTGTAGAATTGCTGACATTGCTGCTTTTTATGTTCTTGGATTGCAAGCATTGTTCACATTAGTCCTGCATTTTGTAGAATGTTACTCACTTTAATTCTTCTTGTCACTGAACAATGTGGTGACAAAGGATTAGGTGAATGGCATTTTGTAGCATTTGTAGAGTCAGGGACTAAAATGAGAGTTTTGTAAAGTTAGGCATTATTCACGTTAGTCTTGAATTTTGTAAAACGTTGGAAAATATTATTTACTTTAGTCTTTAATGCGATTAAAAATGTAGTGAAAAAGGATTAAATGAATGGTGTTTTGCAACATTTGCAAAATCAGGGATTAAAATGAGAGTTTTGTTAGGATTAAAGTGAAAAATGCTTACAATATCAGATGTCAAAGTGAGTTTACACAATATGGGATTGAAGAGTTTCCCAACTTCACTAATAGCTTCTTAAAAGTTGATTGAGAAATACAGGTGAGGATTTTTGACCCGTTTTCTGGAAAGTTCAATACTTTTTCTTTATTATCTCTTATCAATGCTTTATGCATTTTTAGTTGCATGCTTTGTTTTGAAAGTGAAATGTAGGTTGAGTTATAACTTTGATCTAAGGAAAACTTAAGAGAGAATCGAAGCAACACCTTGGACTCATCTGTTTTCAAGAACACTTGCAGGATCAAAGCAAAACTTTGGTCCCTCCTCTGTCTTTCTTTGTTGCCATGCATTAACTTGAACATTAAATATCATAATGATTCAAAAGGGACTCAATATAAAGTTGCTTTGTGTTTGAGTTATTGATGGAATTAAAGTACGTATATAAAACTGATTCATGCATCAAGGTGCTGCTGATTGGAAAAGTGAAAATTTTTCAAGAAAAGTGTCTTTTGGACCTATAATTGACGATTGGAAATATAGTTCACCTTGAAATGACAAGATCTTCACGCGTGCTTTGGTAATGTCTGGGTGTCTACATCAAACGATACTTGACCCACACTCCTTGGTTTTGGTTGGCATTTTGGTTAGTTCCTCTATTGTAATTCAGCATTGGAGGTACAATTTAGATTTAGAGGGGTTAAAGACCACGTGCTGCTTCAAGGCTTTAAAAGAAATAAACATTCTTTTGCATGACATTGAAATTGGTGGACCAAAATAACTGCTAGTTATGTTCTTATGAAAGGAAGAGTAAAAAACTGAAAGTTACAGCTTTATGAGATGTGTAGTCGAGGCATAAGGTTTGATGGTTCATCTTTAAGTTAGACTATGTTATTTTTAGGCACATTTGAGTATATACATAATAAATTCTTATAAACTTTATAAAATGAAAATTTATTAACAAGTTTATGATTTATGTTTATAAATTTTTTAACGTATGTTCAAGCACACTTAGTAAAACAAATAAAGTCATTAGTTACTTTCTTAAACACAATAAAGGTTTTTTTTTTCAACAAGGAGCATGATTTTAAATGACTTCGAAGTTTTTAAACTTGTAACTTCGTTGGATCTTAAATAAATACAAGCGAGACCCATTTTTCAAAATTTATAATAGATAAAAGTATTATAGAGAAATGTTTTTTGAACGATTTTAGAGGATAATTTCAGTTGTTTCTGTACTTCGAGTATTTTTTTTTTTAATGTGTTTTGTAAAAAGAAGGTAAAAAAGAGAAATAACTAAACATATCAAAATGTTAATTTTTGGTTTTTCCAGAAAGCATAACTGAATATTCTTTTGCTGTATTAGAATTATAATGCTGACTTTTCCTCACTCTTTCTCCCCCACTCTTGTACACATAATACATACACCACTAATGGTTGGTAAAAAGGGTAAAGAAAAAAATGACCAAGGTTGGTACTGTATATATAGGTTATATATTATAAGGCCCCGCCAAAATTGACTCAGTTGATAATGTTCTAGCTTGAACCAAATCTATCCTCGATTCATGTGGTCTGGTACTGTTATAATTAAAAATGTGATTCTTTTTTGGCTGAATGCAGGAATAGCTTCACTACTAACTAATTATACATGGCAGCTCTTGTCATTAACATGAACCCCATTTTTGGAAAATGCCATTTCTCATAGAGGGTATTATTATTTTTTCTTCAAGAATTTATACTTCAGAAAAAAACAACAAGAAGGATTTCATTGTGATATTGATGTCCTAGAAAGAAAATTTGTACACTTCAAGTATAATAGGCCATAATTGAGTGGTGTGGCTCCAGAAATCAGGCTGAGATGTCTGAATCTCATCCATAATGGCACATATTTCAATAATACCTGGACACATTATAGTCACAATGCTCTATGATTTACATTAAGTAAATAACAACTTGCATAAAAAGTGGTAACAACATTCCACATGGGTCAAAGTTTTTAATATTTTCCTTGTTATAAAGTTCAATATCAAAAGGAAAAAGTTTCCAACTTTACTTACACCAACAAAGAACAAAATCAACCTTAACATGAATATTTAATTGTGCTTATGTGATAACTTTACTTTTTTTGGTCCCATGTTATTTCCCTTTTACAGCTGCCATTCAAAATGAACGATGCAGCTGAGGAGTGAAGCTCAGAACCATGATTCTATTCCAGCGTTGGAAAAATTTTGAGATTCTTAAGTTGCCATTATTCTCACCTGAACCTTAGGACTAATCTAAGATAGTTGTTTTGGTTGGGACACCGACAGTGTCTTGTTTCTTCTCCAGCTTTGGCATTAGGTATCTAAATTCGATGAATGACGGCTAGGTAATAGGTGCATGTGGATCACGTTGTTCTACATTTGGAACTTCCAGGAAGAACTTCTTCAGGTTTTAACTAAAACTTCAGTTAATATTTTATCTTTCTTTTTCAGATATGCTCTAATCAATTTTGTATTTTACAGTAATCCAATATATATAATCAATAATTATATAAAAATTAAAATAGAGTTCATGCTCCCACTAACTACCTGTAAAATAAGTGCTGATATATTGAATACATTAAACCCTAATTGTGGGACCTGTTATATTGAAATTCATAATTTTTCTACTTAGTATCTGTTTTTTTTTTTTTTTTTTATCTTTTCTAAATAAATTCTTCAAAAATTAACTTTTATTCTAATATAGTCTTTATGTTAATCATTCATTAATTAATTTTTATTATTTGCACAAGTGCCATCTAACTTGTCTCACATTATATGACATGGAGTTGACGTGGATACAATGTTTACACCTTCAATTTTATTTTATATATTTTTAAATTTTAATTTCAAAAGTTATAATCTTATAATCTAAATTTTCTTAAAAAATATAAACGATGTGATTATGTTAATGATACATTTTGATCATATTACTTTTCAATAAAATTATATGAATTGACTTGATGCTATAAGCAAATAATAAAATAAGTTAATAAATAACTAATAGAAAAAGGAAAAAATCAAAATGAAAGATTAGATAGGAAAATCACAAATTTTTGACGGATCAAAATTTTATTTAAACCTAAAAATTTATTATTTATGAATTCTTTAACTAGTTTATTAGCAAGATCCATCAAATTATGTGTGTCATATATAATATTACTCCCTTCATTTTATATTAGATGTTGCTTAATACTAATGCACACAATTTTAAAAAAAATGATTGATTTTATCAATTACTATGATAGGATAAATTGATTTTACTAAAACTCTGATTAAAAATATTAAAGTTATTGCAATATTTTGTTGATAAAAAAAATATTCTTAGGGTAATATTTTCTCTAATTCTTTTTAGGAGAACCTCTTAACTAAATCACACATATTTATTTATTTTTCATGTATTTAATATATTATTTTTAAAAAATATAAAATTCTAGATTTATCTTTAGTAAAAGTCAAATTTTATTATTATATTGATTATTAAAAGGTTAAAATAATAAATGATCTTACAATTTTATAAATGGTTTTATATTTAAGATTATCGACTTCTAATATGTTTTTTAACATTTTAAAAAATATAGTGAAGAGTAACGGTGTTATTTTTAAAAAAGAAGAATATTATTAAAAAATCATTAATATTTTAAAATGATATTTAATATTAGATAAAGAAAATAATTTTAAAATGTACAAATAGGGAAATTGCATGCTCAAAGATGTTGACTCCTTCCACTCATATCAATACACGCTGGTGTTTTGTTTTTAATACTGTGAGAGTCATGTGTGCCACGTCAGAGAATTTTCCGTGTGTCAATTTTCTTTCTCTTTCTCTGCATATTCATAGTATGTTTATGTTATTAACATTATTATGGACAGTGGTATCAGACAGAAAAAACAAAAGGTGATTGTGTGCAATTTTTATTTTATTTTATTTTTTTAATACAAATAAATAGCACTTGTATTTTTCCGTTGAAAACTTAGACACTTTGTCTGCTTCCTAGACAATTACCACTCTTTATCTATTAGCCGTCCATTCACAAGGCACAGCATGTACCAATCCCATCATTTCTGTGACCCTCATTTGCTGTGTTCTGCATATTTTTATTACATGCACTAACACATATTTTTAATATAAAATTATAAAATTTATGTAAATTTTTTTTAAAAATTAATATTTTTCTCTTTTTACATAGGCTATAGGATCTAGGAATTGTACTACAAGCCATAAAGAAGTCAGTTTTTTTCACCCTTGGTGTTCCATTAAAAGCCAATATTCTGTTCTTCATCAAATTACCAAATGGTAAAATTGAAGGACAGAAAGTGAAACATGGAACTAGCCATGACAAGTGGTCTTGTGAAAGCTATAAATGGACAGAAAAGGAAACATGAGCCCTGAGAATGCCACAAGGAAAAAAGGTAAAGATACATAACTTTATTATTTGAATGACCAAAAACAACTAAGCATCCACTTCTATTCAGGTCTAAGTCACATGAAATTCAACATTTCCTTTCCTCTATTTTGCATAAAAGATTCCAATAGATACAACTTCAGATAAAGAGAGTAAAAAAGATTTACTTTCCCTCTCTACCTTTCCTTGTCAAAAGTTAGTCTTCTCAGGTACCAAGAGTTAAATAGATGGAAAGAGAGAGATCCATCATTTAGAGGATCTCTAGGGGCAGAAGTCAGGTCTGTCTTATTCTTGCCCCTTGGGGCCTTGTTGCTGTGTTAAGCTCTTGTGGGGTGTGTTCCTGCTCCATAAAACCTATCATAAACTAGACTCCTTCAAACATATAGAGGTAAGGAATTTTAGAACTTGGGAAGTACTAGTATTATTATTTATTGTCAACCTCAAATTCTGATATCAGAATCAAAATTGACTCATCTCTGATTTCAACTTCTAATTTTTCCATATTGCAGGGCAAAGAAAGGAAAAGAAAAGAAATATAGAATTAACATAAAGTTGGGTCTTTTGAGCTTCTGATTCAAGGTAAGGTATATTATTGTTTAGTTTAATGGAATATTAAATATCCTTTTTAATAATCAGGTTTTTAGATCTCTTTATGTATGTATGCATCTTTGAATCTTCTAATTCGTCAATTATATTTAACAATCATAGAGTTTGGAGGAAGCCCAATTCTGATTCAATTTCTAGTAATTCTTTTTTTTACTGATTTGGGTTATGTAGGAAGTGGTTAATGGAGGATAAGTATAGTCTTAATAGGCAGCATAGTGGGATATGGAGATCCTTGAGAGATGGAGACTTTGAAGAAGAAGATGTTTGGGCAGTTATCAAGGACAAATCTGATTACTTTTCAGGAGTTCAAAAGCCAAAGGAAAAAGGGTCCTCTCCTCTCGCTGTTCCTAGAACCCTCCCAAGTGCTGCAAGGATGATCCCAAGGACTAGTAGTGGTAATAGTAGTGCTAGTTCCTCTCATGAAACCAAGGTTCTTCAGCAATCAGCACCTGTCAATATTCCTGACTGGTCAGAGATTTATAGGAACAAGCAAAGTAAGACCCCTAAGAATGTTTCAAGGTTTGGTGTTTATGATGATTTCTATCATTCTGTTGATGATGAAGGTGATGGTGTTGGTCTTGTCAATTATGGTGGTGGAGACAGTGATGGTGAAGAAGAGGAAGAGGATGAATATGATACCAAGCTCCCTCCTCATGAATTTATTGCAAGAAGGCTTGCAAGGAGTCAAATATCATCATTTTCAGTTTTTGAAGGTGTTGGGAGGACCCTCAAAGGTAGGGATCTTAGCAAAGTGAGGAATGCTGTTCTCACAAAAACTGGTTTCCTTGAATCACTGTGAAGGGGTTTCCATTAATAAAATTTGTGATGTATAGGGGGGATTTGTTCTAGTTGTTCCTTAGTTATTGAGATTGTGTGCATGGATGTGTACGAAATATTAGTTTTAGGCATTTTACCATGAAAAAACAATGATTGGACATGGTTGTGGCAACTCAAAAGTGATTTCATTTCAATATCCTGTTGTGGCAACTCAAAAAGTGTTTTCAGGAATAAGAAACAATAAATTATTATTTTTTATATATTCAAATCAACTTATGTTCATATATTTTTATAGAAGTTCTTTCATTTAATTTTCCTTAAGCTTGAAGTAAAATTGACTTTAACTTGTAATTTTTCTTTTCTTATATAACTACTTACATAAAAGTTGATTTAAAATGGAGTTATGTGAAATTTTGTACCTTTTGGCTTTTATATTGTTTAGAGCATTCATGCAGAAACAATGAAGGATGTGTCGGGTTAATTATTAAAATTGAATCATAAAGCCATTAATCATTTAGAAGCACAAAAGTGTTTGAGACCATTGCCATAATAATTGTCCCAAGTTATTCCCTAGATCTTGAGGGGAAAAAAAGTATAAATTGAATTTGCTTCCGAATTAAAGAAGCAAAGTTATATTTTACCTTTACATCTTAGTTGAAATCATGATGCACTTTACATAGTAAAATTTAGCGTAAATTCACTTTTGTGTACTCTTTCTAGAGACAAAATAGTCTTGTCCAAATCTTTGACACCTCTAATTCTTTTTTCTTCTTCTTGGGTTAGAAGACATATATAATTGAATAAAAGCCACGTAATGGTGTGTTAGTTGGATCAGAAGGAAATAAGAACCAAAAGAAAAAGTAAAATCTGTAGCTTGATTGAATAACTCGTGACCCAACTGAACTGGAATTAATAGTACTGAACTAATTTGTGTAGTACCTATGCTCTTAATGACTCAAAACTCAGTGATTTTATATATACCAGCTCTAAAAAAAATTCACTAGTATAGGTAAATTTTAAAAGAAAATATTAACATTCACTTTTAGAAATGCGTGAATTACAGATAATTTTTCATAGATGAATTTTTTTTATCTTTAATATAGATAAATTTATAGATTTTAAATTTAAAAAAAAATAGATTTTTTTTTAAATTTTTGGATAAATTCATTTGTAAATTCATCTGTATTATAGATAGAAAAAATTCATTTGTAAATATAGATAATTTTTTTTCTTTCTGTATTATAAATAAAAAAATTTGTCTGTAATTTTATAGATAAATTTACATACCAAAAAATTAGTCTATAATTTTACAAATGAATTTTACAGATTGATTTTTTTATTTGTAATTTGAAACTAAAACGAAAAATATTAGGCACAAATTATATAAATAAAATCTGTCTGTAAATGCATAAATGAGACACAGTATTCCATAAATAGAGTTATAGATGGATTTTTTTATTTATAAGTCAATTAATAAAACGTTACATTTAATCAATACACTTATAATGGAAAAATTCGTCTATAATATACAAAATAGTATAAAAGCGCGTCTTCTCCTTCTTCATTTATCTATTTTCCTCTCTCTCTCTCTAATCTCTCTCTAGTATCTTCGCTTTTATGCACATTGTTACTGATTTGAGCTTCCATTTTGCAAACAAATTACGTCATTATATTTATGGTATTATACTCAAACTTTTAATTGATTTTATTTTTTTATTTTTGGTGTAGGATATATACTTATTTATTATAAATTGTTTATTACAGATGGATCATACGAGAGAATGTATCAATTTTGAACATCTTGCGGTTCAGGAGGAGGTTGAAATCTACAGTGGACTTAGCAATAATGAAGGAGGGAGAGTCACTGTGAATGTATCAAATTAAAGAAAGGTGGGAGTTACGGAGATACAATAAGGTTGGAGCTGAAGAAGAATAAGTGTTGGAGTGTGAGGGAAACAAAGTGTTTGAGAATGAGAAGTGTTGTTTTGGAGAAGTGAAGAATAAGATGAGAAAAATAATAGAAGATGCGTTTGATGAAGTGATATAAGAACTATGAACGAAATAATTGTTATAAATTAATTATAACAGGCAAAAAAATCCGCCTATAATTTTAGAGTAAAATCTATCTGTAATAAATATATTTATGATAGATGGATCTAACCACTGAAGATTTAACACTTAGTTTCCACAACCACTTAAGACATTTAAGTTAGCTCTTTACTCTCGGCTGAGGGGAAGGAGCGAATACTAACCACTTTTGGTAACTCCCTCAGAGGGAAAGAGTGTACTAGCCCCGCAGGGAAAGTGTTGCTAATAAGTTACTTCCTAAGCTAGTGACTGAACCACGGGTGTGGAGCAGGAACGATCTCTTCTTCATTGGCCCTTCTGTTAGCCCAAAAAGTGAGAGGAAGGGCCAGAGAGTCAAACCAAGAGTCCTAACCCAAGAGAGAGCTTCTTAACGTGAGCGAACGGGTCAGGTCAAGCAAGTGAGTGATCCTCGAGTCAGGAGCACGGATGATAAAGGAGCTAAAGGGCTTGTAGCTAGCAACTAACTCCTGTTAGCTCGTATCGTAATGTTTAAGATGCTTTCTGGTTTCAAATCTATCTCTAAATTTATAAACGGATTTATAGATAAAAAAAATTTGTCTATAAATTTACAGGTAGATTTTTCTATCTATAAATTACAGACAAATTTAAAAATTTGTCTATATAAATTACCGACACCAAAATTACAGATATAATTTATTCATCTATAAATTTATCTGTAACACTAAAATTCGTTTATAATCATTTAAAATTTGTCCATAAAATCTGTTTATATTTGTAGTTTTTGTAATAGTGATTAATATTTATGATAATTTTGAGCAAAAGTTTATTACTTTTAAATTCTTAAAATGATGTTAACAAAAGTGAATTTGAAATAATATAAATTTGAATAAAATTTGTGTGATTAAAGTTAAAACTCTACTCACTGTAAAGCCAATTTAGATGAAACATGCATTATAATAACTCAAATAACTTAACTGTGTTGCAGTTGTACAATTATTGAATTATACATAGTGTGGGAAATTGAGAGAGACATGCCACCAACTAATTGTCTTTAATTATTGTTGAAAAGAACAAGGTTTATTATCTAATGATATGTGATAAAGGGAAGAGGAGAAAAGATCGACTAGTCTCTGTCAACACTAAATGTTGATCTCCATAAAAATAAAGATCAATTCCATAGAAGCTCTTACACATACGCAATGCATGATCATTCTTGACTTTCAAAGATCCAAATTAGTGCCCATTGTTTCAGTTTCATACGGATTATTAAATGCAAAAGACACTTATGATTGATTAGGGTCTAATCTATTTAGCTAAAAAGCACCATAACCTCATAAAGTGGAGAACATATATACGTTGGAAACGTTATTTTTAGTATGTTACAATGTAAAACATGATGCACCCAATGATTGAATTAATGGCTGTAATATAATGTTATCATTAGTAAATATAATTCTCAAGCTTCGGTTCAACAAAGATTTTCTTAAGCCAGTTTGGTAATGGCTGGTGAGAGATTGGGTTAGAGATTTTTTTTCCTCATTAAAACTAACTTTTGCTGTAAATTTGTAAGTATTATTGCAAGTTTTATCTGAGATTTGTCACATTTTATCGCTTAAAATGAGATTGAATTATAAGATATAGTTGTTTGGTATTAAAAGATCAGCAACTGAAAGTAATTTAAACTTAAAATGTGACATTTTATTGTCATATTAAAACCTTGGAACAAATAAGATACGTATTCTTTTAAGTGAGATTTTCACATTACTGGTTTTTTTTCCCCTGCATTTTGTATCATTAAATTTAAATTTTTCAATTAAATATATAAATTTTTAAATTTTTAAAAAAATTAGAAATTTAAAAAGAGTAAATATTATACTTATTAATGATAAAAACTTTATAATATTAAATAAAACAAAAATAATGAAAAATTAAATTAAAAATACATTTTATAAAAAAAATCACTTAATGCAATTAAAAAAATAATCCTTAAAATCACTTTTAAAAAATTCTTCCATTTAAGATTAATCAATATTACTACTAATTTGAATATTTTTATCTTAAATATTTTTATCAAGCAGATCAATTTTATAAAACCTTATGCAAAAACAAAATTAATATACACTTCATTACATTACTTTATTTTAAAAAATATTATATTTTTTTAAGATATAATTAAATATTAATTTTTTAATATCATTTCTACTAATAAATAAATTATATAAAATTTGAAATACATATTATGGAGATAATATAAAATATTCAATTATTGGTTAAATTTAACACTTAATATTAACAAATATTTGTGTATATTTATAAAAGTCAAGATTCACTAACGATAAGTATCTTACTTAATATTTTTTTTCATATTTATGCAATACCATACTTATGACCCACCGTACGAGAAGATGAGTATTTTGACCATAGTTTCTTTTTAATATTCTACCTCTCCAATTCTAGTCTTTCTTTTCCTTGAAAGCTCCTTTTCCTTTAATTAAAATTTTAATATTTGATTCAAATTTTTGACTTTCTTTTTTACATTTACATGCATTTTATTTTATTATAATATATTTGCATTATTAAGCTTTAGACTCTTAATGTATTCAAGGTATTATTTAGAGGTTAAATAGATATAATTCATGACTAAGTCATTCGTTTTTGTTTTTGGTATTGACAAAATTATATTCCAGTTTAACTTTTTTCATGTAAATAGAGTTAGAGAATGATAATTTATTATTATTGATCAATTATTAAAAAAATTTAAAAATTAATATAAACTTTAATTTTTTATTTATCTCTTTCACAACCTCCTTCTCTTCTATTTACACGTTCTACCATAGTAACCAGAAAACCCCCTTCAAATTTTGTAGTCACTGCAATAGATACTCTCCATTCCTCAAATTTTAATGTATTTCATATCACCATTGATCTTTTAACTATATTATAAAGAATAATATATTTCAAAATTATATTTCTAGACATAGAATATTGTAGACATTTTTTCTAATTAATGTTTATTACCCTTAATCAAATTTAAAATTAATTAATAAAAAATATTATCATTATAAAATTATAATAATATTGACTTATTTTTTTTAAATTACAAATAAATTAATACATTATTATTATTATTATTATTATTATTATTATTATTACTTTATTAAATATTTTTGAGTAGATGTATTATACTGATAATTAAAATAATTTGCAGTAACAATATAATTGAAATTGAC